TCATTATTAATTAAAAACTTGAAAGAGAATTAATCATGTACAATCTAATTGATCTTTAGTATAAAAATTTTTGAGATTCTGTGTATGTCTGAAATATATAATATAGACGGTGGGCAATATTTGATAGAGTGATCTGACTTTTGTTGCTTATATAAAAGGGTCAAAGGGTCAATTTGAATTTACTTGAGACATTTGGACTAATAGTAGAATATTGGAAGTGACCCCACATTAACTCAAAATCATTGTCAAAGTTTTAAAAGTTGGGGGACAAAATAGGATTCAAGGTTGGGGACCAAAGCAATTTCAAGGAAAATTCAAAAGGAAAGATTGAATGATGACAATTACTCTATGTTGAGTCCTTATCAAAGATGATAAGGAAACAAAGTAGAGGAGGTTCTTCTTAATTAAGGTGTTATCTACATTTGGTCCCATAACAAAAAGCCTTATATTGCATTTTTTTTATTGTCACTTGTTTTTTCATTTCCGTATGAAGATTCTATTCAGTAATTTTAGTTATTATAGTAATTGTTAGTTGTTTTAATGACTGTCAACTGTTTTATCAGTGATTAACCGTTAGTTTTTAGCTGTTTATATAACGATTTAAAATAAAAGTGTTCGGAGATAGGTGTCATAAAAAAATTATAAAATGTTAAACGTTAATAAAGATAACATTTCATGAAATACTCTTTCAACCTCTAAACACCAAGATACATATTGTATTACTGAATGCAATAATTAATTAAAATAGTGTTTTGAGTCAAAACACTAAACACTATTTCAAACATCGTTGACGAATAGAGCGGAATTTTTATTAATATTTGGTCAATTTGAATGCTTGGAAATTTAGATTTGGAAGGCATGGAATATTTTTCTTTTTACATTTTTTTTTTCCTTTTGGCGTGTTAAAATATTCTGTCTGTTTAGAAAAAAGTTTGTTAATTATTCTATTGGAGGAATTTTTCTCTCCCATAACCCTCATTCTACACGAGTGTTTTCCTGAAAATGGAATTGTTCAATGTACTAAATGTATTAAAATATGGAAATTTTGCATTTTCAAAGTACGTTATTTTAGAGAATTTATAGTTTTGTTGAATTTGCTTCTAAAAATTTGTATTTATAATTTTATAAAAAACTTAAAAGCTAAAATGTCGAATTTTGGCATTAAACTCAAACTTTTATTTGTAAATATTGAGCCAATTCAATTTTTATTTTTTTGCTAAAAAATAAATTTTTATTATAAAATAATATAAAACTAGAGAAAAAAAAATAGAGAGTAAAAGATAAGAGTGATCTTCATAGATGAGAATAAATAAATAAATAAATATATAGTTAAATAAGGTATTAATTTAAAGAAATAAAACGTAATTTATTAAAGAATGTGGACAAAACTGCAGTTATAGATGATAAACATTCTTTTGGAATATCTAATAAGTGGTTACAAAGGTTGATAAATGAGTTTCAGACAAAACACATTCTACACAGTAATTTTTGTTTTTTTGGTTATATTCTACATTCGGTGTCATTATAATTTTAATTTCCAAGGTGGCATTGGACAAAAATATTAGTGTGGGGTATTGAAAATGTTTTTCATTAAAATCAAATGCGCCGTTGATGACGGCCTCTTCGAGTTGGACCACGTCCATTATTGACTCATTGCAGACGTTTCATTTACTCAATCAATGACTTTTTTTTTTTCCATTTCTTACCTGCACAGCTGAACTTAGACTCAATGATTTTTTTTGGTAGAAAATTAATTTGGATTTAAGAAATTAAATAGGAATTGGAAAAGTCTAAAATAAACTAATAAACGCATTTCATTTTCATAATTCAATTTCTAATTTTACCGGTAAATTTCGATTGAAAATATAAATTTTTTTTCGCTTATCTAATCACCTGTTAGTTAGTTGTAATGATTAGATTTTCAAAATCTCATTTTTAGTCACTTAGTTCCTGTACAGATTCTTTTTTTTATCATAAACAGTTTTTGTTTAGGAATTTTTGTTTCTCGTAATGTTTTAATTTAAAATCACATGTCATAGTGCCTTAGAATTTATAAATTTTTAGGAATTTTATAAGATATGAACATGATAGAATATTGTTTTTCATGATCAAATCAAACTTTGCCACCTCTACATGGTTAGTGGTTGTCGAACTATAATCATAGTATTAAGAGAATATCCAATCACTAACATGTTTCTTAAGAAGAAATAGCAAAAGTTGGAAATACAAGAAAGAACTTGGAACTTGCCTGGACGTAGTGATATTCAAATCGAAATTCCAAACTAAATGTTAATTTAGAATGGAATTTTGAAATATAAAATTTAAAATAAAATGTATTTTTAAAATATTAATATATGGAATGGAAATAAAAAATAAAATTTCATATTCCACTCCATATACCAAGTTTATTATTTTTTTAGTTTTTAATTATAAATTTTAAAATAAAATATTAAATTAAAGATAAATTTCATATTCAATGGAATTTTGAAATATAAAATTTAAAATAAAATGTATTTTTAAAATATTAATATATGGAATGGAAATAAAAAATAAAATTTCATATTCCACTCCATATACCAAGTTTATTATTTTTTTAGTTTTTAATTATAAATTTTAAAATAAAATATTAAATTAAAGATTGGAATAAAATATCTTTAATTTTTCATATTTTTTTCAAGAAAACTTTTGTTTAATTCTAAAATTTTGTAGCTTAATAGAATATTTTAACCCTAACCCTAATTAGTAATTAATATATATTATGTGCTTGAACAAATATTTACTTTCTTGGATTTAAATTTATGATTTTAGTTATAATGCCTTACTGTTTATTAGATTATATGATTTAAATTTGAGTATGCTTATACTTATAATACATATATTTTTTTGTGGATTTAGCACTTTTTAATGCAAATTGGTGACTACATATATTGATATATCCTAATATGAATGGTATTACTTTTATTGATTTTATAATAATAATATTATTAATTATTAAGTTATTAAATTATTAAATGTTAAGGGTAAAGTATACCTACTATCTACAAACATGTAAGGTTAAATATTTTGATTTTAGTTATATGTGATATTAATTTTTTATTTTTAAAAATTTAATTATGTCTTTTTAGCATGTTTATATAACATATGGTGATTATTTGTTATTAAATTTAAAATTTTATCTCTTAAAAAAGTCATAATACGTTAGATTTGCATTTATGATTACGAACTTTAGAACTATCGCATTCCAATGGAATGGTAATAGACTTTTCACAAGTGTACGAAATCAAAAATAAGTAATAAATAGTGAGTAAAATATCGTTCCCACGAGGATTGTATATCAAGTACCAAATTGTGTTAACATATTATTATTTAAACGACAAGAAAAATTGTAAAAATAAAAGAAATAAAACAAAGCAATGAATAAGAAATTAAGCAAATAATTATTGAAAAGAACTCAAGGTTTAAAGATTATTAGAGATTTTGATTTCACTTAATTCTATCAAATTTATCATATTAGTTTGATAATCAATTTTAATTATTCAAAAAGGAGAAATAACCCTAAATTCGCTAATAAGCTCTGTCGATGTTTTATTAACTATTTTAACCTAATTTAATTACGCATCTCTTAACGGCGCAACCAAACATGAATTAAATCATTAAGTTCTTGTGATTATTCAGGAATTCACAAATTAAGGCCTTTAATTTTATGAAAACCTCTCACGAGCCAAACCATCTCGCTCTCGCATCAAGTTGTTATTCCCATAAGAACCCTTCTCTCGACAATAATTAATTAAATAAATCAATCCAGGGGAGAAACTCTGCATGGAAGCATTAAGACCAATAATAAACTTTACTTGAATAAAAAAAATCAAATCTAATATTATAAACTGAAATTGAAATTTAGCTACATCATATCTCTTGTAAAGAGATTTACTTCAATATAGTGAATAAATAAATTCAACTAAATTTGTAAATAATCTCATAAAGAATAATAAACAAAAAAAGAGTTTAGAAATAAAAACTAGTTAATAATTGACTTTGAGTGGCTTCCTTGAATCTTGACATCAACTAGAGCACTTGAAGACTTAAAGAGAGAGAAAACTATGTAGAAAAACAATAGAACAAAAAAGATGAAATATACAATGAATGGATCTCCCAAATTATGTCTAGTCTCTCTCTTTATATAGACTTTCTGAAATATTTTCGAATTCGTTTAGGAAATTAAATCTCTATTGAGGAAAATCTTTTTAAGATAAGAAAATGTTTAGATTTTGTATTTCTTTCCAATTATGATTTTCTCAATGTCTAAATAGGACTCTAGCTTTAACAAGGTACATCCAACAATATCTTCATATAGGCAGCACGGGCTTAATATGAAATTTCGGCCCAAGTTGAACTTTGTAGAATAGCACGGGGGTGCTGGATAGCACGCCTTGGGTATGCTACTTGCTGAAAGTCTTTGACAATTGATCATCTCTTGCACTTTTTGCTTGTTTTCTATAAAAATTCTATAAAATTCTTCAAGATCAAGTGAAATATGATTCAAGAAAGTTTTAAACAAAAACATAAATAAAACTAAATAAAAATTAATTAAAGTAATTAAAAATACCGTCTGAATTCATTAGAGGTTTTTATGGACCAAAATAACACTGCGAGCTACAGAAAACACAGATAGAGTACTATTTTTGATTGAATAGTTTATTTTTAACTAACTTGGTAAAATAAACTAATATAAATATTAAAATTAATTGGTTACAGCTAAATCTAATAAATTAAATATTACGGGTGCAATTTGTCAAAAGTCAGTCCATCAAAGAGAAACACTCAGGAGACAATGCTCAAGAGGGTTTACCAATTTTTTTTTCTTGACTTTAATATAATAGCTATAAATGCTATAGAATTTTAGTCGCACTTTTATCGAGGCAAAGACAAGTCTTGGAGTTGGACCAAGTTGAAGACTTGGAGTTGGAACTTGCAACTATTTGTGTCCTATAAATACCACCCCTGCAACCTCCGTCCTTTATCAACAACCACAAACCACTCCTTAAGAGAGACAGAGAGAGAGATTAAGAAACATCAGAGAGATTAATTGAGCGAGATTAGAGATGGAGTTTCCTGTGATTAACATGGAGAAACTTAATGGTGACGAGAGAGCAGCCACCATGGCTAAGATCAAAGATGCCTGTGAAAACTGGGGCTTCTTTGAGGTATTATTATATTTATATTATAAATCAAATATATGGGTATAGTCTAATTGCTGGATTTATTAAGTGTAATTAATACTTTTGTTTTGTTTTTTAGCTTCTGAACCATGGAATAGCTCCAGAGTTTCTTGACACAGTTGAAAGATTGACAAAAGCTCACTACAGAAAATGCATGGAGCAAAGATTTAAAAGTGTAATTAATACTTTTGTTTTGTTTTTTAGCTTCTGAACCATGGAATAGCTCCAGAGTTTCTTGACACAGTTGAAAGATTGACAAAAGCTCACTACAGAAAATGCATGGAGCAAAGATTTAAAGAAATGGTCGCGAGCAAAGGCCTCGACGCAACCCAAACTGAGATCAAAGATATGGATTGGGAAAGCACTTTCTTCCTTCGCCATCTTCCTCAGTCAAACATTGCTGAAATTCCCGATCTCGATGATGAATACAGGTTTATTACGTTAAATGCAGTTTTTATATATAATATTAGACTAATCTATGATAATTTTGACAGAACCTGTCGGACCCAACAGTTCTTGTCAAAACCTTGACACAACTCGTGGCTCATGCTTTATATATTTAAGTTTTCTGAAATCAATAAATGATATGCAGGAAGGTGATGAAGGAATTTGCAGCCCAGTTAGAGAAACTGGCAGAGGAGTTGCTAGATTTGCTGTGTGAGAATCTTGGTCTTGAGAAAGGGTACCTAAAGAAGGCGTTTTATGGGTCAAGTGGATCGCCAACCTTTGGGACAAAGGTTAGCAACTATCCACCATGCCCTAAACCAGACTTGATCAAAGGACTCAGGGCCCACACAGATGCAGGTGGCATCATCTTGTTGTTTCAAGATGATAAGGTCAGTGGCCTTCAACTCCTCAAAGATGGCCACTGGGTTGATGTCCCTCCGATGCGTCACTCCATTGTCATCAACCTTGGAGACCAAATTGAGGTATACCCATTATTATCCTTTCCATTTTCTTCATTTTAAAGCAATCGACACAGTTGAGCTTCATTAATTAACATGTAATGATGGATTATTACAGGTAATAACAAATGGGAAATACAAGAGTGTAGAGCACAGAGTGGTGGCTCAAACAGATGGAACAAGAATGTCAATAGCTTCATTTTACAACCCAGGAAGTGATGCAGTGATATATCCAGCACCAGCTTTGTTGGAGAAAGAAGCAGAAGAGAAAAAACAAATTTACCCAAAATTTGTTTTTGAAGATTACATGAAGATTTACGCTGGGCTTAAGTTTCATGCTAAGGAGCCAAGATTTGAAGCTTTGAAGGCTGTAGAAACTAATGTTAATTTGGGTCCAATTGCTACAGCTTAATTAATTATTGGGAATGTTTTATTATTTTATTAATTAAAAGAGAGGGGGGGGGGGGGGGAGGGATAAAGAAAGAAGAGGGGGCGTAGGCTTGGATAAGTTTGAGAATTTATTGTAGCACGTCTTAATTTATTGTGTAGAAAATTACCATTGTAGCTATATAAAATGATAAAGTTTATTTTTCAAGAGTAAATTCTTGCCTTAGTTGTGGAACTTCATACTTGTAGCTGTAGCCCTTTTCATGGGGTAATTTTAGAAATTATAATAAATAATTGTTTAAGAAGTAAATTTTCAAGTATCTTTTTTTATTTCATATTATATAATATTTTTTTCGTTCTATTTTATTTGTTTATTATTTCTTTTTTTATAAGTCTCAAAATATTTACAAGATTTTTAAATTTATATACCTAAATAATTATTTTTCTCATGATAATTTTTATGATTATTTATTAAATGAATTATTTTTATTAATATCTTGATGAGTTAACGATAAAAAAAAAAGATAAAATAATATTTGTTGACTAAAGCCTCGTTTGGTTAGATGTAAGCGAAGGGAGGAAGTTGAAGTTCCAGGAAATATAGATTTTGAACATATTTGGTTGGCACAAACTATGTAATTTCCGGGAACTTAAAAATACAACTTCCCTAGTCGTACAAGGAGTAACTTCCTCTGCTCACCCATAGGAAGTGGACTTCCTTAGTTCAAAAACTTCACATTCTTAATTTTACCCTTATAGCTTTCACTGCACATGTATTTGTTCATCAACAATGTGATTTCTTTATTTTTACTTTGGTCCATGGTACTTCTAACTCAACACACCCTTTTTCCTTATTAGTCTTTTTTAGAGAACTATTATTCTTATTTTGTTTGTAATTATAACATTAACCAAATAAATAAAATTATAATAATATTTTGTACAATATGTAATTAAAAAGTTATATTGATTACAAGGCAGTGGATCGTATAAAACATATTTTATTAAATTGATTTTAGGTTATTAATTTTTTTTTTCAATGAAATATTTTAGGTTATTAAGTTTTTTTTCAATGAAATATTTCAATTATTATATATGATAGGGATATTTTTGTCAATTATAATCTCACGTTTCATTAACCGAAATATTTCAATTATTATATATGATAGGGATATTTTTGTCAATTATAATCTCACGTTTCATTAACCCAGCTTTACTTTCTGGGAATTCAATATCAACTAAACACAATCGCACTCTACTTATCGGGAAGTCAACTTTCCAAGAAATAGATCGATTTGAACTAAACAAGATCTAAATTCCTAATATACATATTTTTTTTATTAAATCATGCAAATAAAATGAGACGGAAGAGATAATAATAATAATAATAATAATAATAATAATAATAATAATAAGATGAAAATGGATCAAAAGAATTAAATCAAAAGAATGAGATCAGAAGAAGATGAAAATGGAGTAATTAACTCCTTCAAGCAAGCTCTTTTTAATAACTCCGATGGTCTCTCTTTGGCACTTTCTTATTTGTCTTGTGCACTTTCTCTGCAAGCATGATCTTGATTCTCTTATTTGAGATCAATTCCTAAGTCATTAGAGGTATTAGTTTTTCTAGTATTACTGGTTAGTACTGGGTAAATGTGATAATGAGTATGTGTTACTGCTGAATTTGATTAAATGTTTAAATTTTAATGTTACTGTTATGGAATTGTGTTGATGCTTATAGCAATGAGGTAACAGTACAAACTAATTAGCTAGCTAGCTAACTTGACACCCTTATATGCTCTTGATGGATTTAATATTTAGTCAGATGTGTGATTCTTAATATATATCAAGAGGAGTGCTTGTTAGTTTTAGTTTATGCCTTCTAGCCTCGTAAGGAATGCTTATCTTAGTTTTGGATGTCATTGATCTACCTCGCAATTCCTTGATTGGTTCCTCACCGCTAGATGTTGGTATCTTGAAACAACTTCATACTTTATAATATCTCTCAAGTAGGGTTAGTAATTCGCAATTACAACTGAATATCCGAATCCAACTGATTGTTTTCGGTTTGATTTGGCTTCTATATAAATAAATTTGGGTTTGGATAGGTTAATTATAAATATGAACTCGTTATTCTATGATGCGGGTCAGTTGAAAAAAAATAACTGCTTATCCGAAATAATCAGATTTCTATTAAGGCCTTTCTTTATTTTAATGTTAGATTTCTTATATATATATATATATATAATTTGATTTTCTTAATATATATATAATATATAAATTTTATATATATATATAATTTTATTTTAAGAAAAATAATATTTTAAATATTTTTAAATTATTAATTAAATAGGTAATAGTTAGCAGGTACATAAATCCTTGAATCGAATGCGATATAAATATTAAAAATACTATTCGAATCCGTCTCAAATCCATTTATATACTATCCGAACTACTAAATAAAATTGTAATCCCTAATTATATATGTCAAATTATTATCTTACAAACCATCTTTATAATTGGATATTGCTACGGATATCCCAAATCATTCTTATATAGTCTATCACTACATATGAGACTCTATGAGGTAATAGACTCGATCATCCCCTGGAGAGACCCATTATGCCAGTAAACAGTTGAATTTTGTATACATTTCAAACCTGGCTGAAAAATAAAATAAAAAAAAAAATAAAAAAAAAAAAAAAAAAAAAAAAACAAAAAAAAAAAAAAAAAAAAAAAAAAAAAAAAAAAAAAAAACAAGTGAGGGGAGGACGTAGTGACGTGGAGGGAAAGAAGACCAGTGGCCTAGGCTATTGGTTAAGTCACATGGACCTAACTCAACCTTTTTGTAGCTCTTAAAAAAAAAAAAAAAATCCTAACATTAGAAACAGTTTGTCTTTTACTTATCTTCCTCTTCTCCCAATCATCAGCTAATATTCTAAGATATTTCATTTCTCGAACTCAGTCTTCTCCATTTTCAGCTTTGAAGTCGTTTTGTGCCTTTTTTTCTATTCGTTTTCACTTTTAGTTCTCTCTTTCTGATTTCAATTTATCATTTTTCAAGTTCCAAACATTGGCGAGCCACTTGTCTCTTCACTATCTCCTCTCTCCTATTGATTCTTTTCAACGCTTGTTTGCTCTCTGAAACAATTGAAACTGACATTGCAGTCTACCAATTATAAAATTAACTGTGGATCCACGATAAACGTTTCACCCACGGCTGAAAATGAATTGACAGTGCAGAAAATAAGAATTATAGAAAGTTTTATGAAATTGAAATTGCTTTAAAATTGATATCTATATCGACAAATATTGAAATTGTAAAGAGAAATTAGAAAAAAAGAAATAACAGTGAATATAAAAGAAACTGAAATAAAATTGTTTGAGAATTGCTGTTGAATTATTTTTGAGTTTGATTTTGGGTTAGTTGCTAGGCATTGTTTCTGTGTTCGAGTTTAGTTTTTACAAACCTAATTCTCCAATATTTAATTCTTAATTATTTAATTCTCCAATATTTAAAGCTTAATTAATTTAAACCCAAACAAATTATAAACCTACAAATTAAGTCTGTAACATAAAAAATTAAAATATGGTGTAAACAATACCGCGACCAGCAGTATGTTGATCGTGGATCACTTAGCTCTCTTTCTCCCGCCGTCAAGATGACCTCTTCAGACAGTCGTCTTCATAACCTATACTACATGAAACACTGAAAAGAGTTTTATTTGTTTATTCGAGAAAGTAGGGGAAGAATCGAGGAGATCTTATTATGGTTTCGTCTTTATTTATTTTTTATGATTGATTAGGAACGGAGCCAATCAATGAACAACATAATATGAATAATTTAAGGTAATATGGGAAAATCAATCCAATTCTATTACTGCTGACCAAAAAAAAAATATTTAATCTATATATAGGTTTTTAAAATCAAAGATTAATAGATCTATTAAATCCAAAATAAAAAATAGGTTAAGATTAAAAATTTATAGTTTATAATTTGAAAATAAGTTAGGGTTAAGAAATTATAATTTGTAATCCAATAATTGAATCGATTTCATAATTATAAATTCATTTTTATATTAAATTAAATCGAGGTAAGTTTATATACAGTCTCATTGTGAAAAACACCGGTATATTCGAATATGCTTATACATACGTTTGAATGGAATCACGTATCTGTTTGGCAGATGAGAAAATAAGAAAATTTTGGCAGGCAAACTTCAAAGATGTGAATGTAACAATTGGAGCTAAAATCAAATGTATTTTGTATAATTGGACCCATTCAGATATCATTCAAACCATGGATCCTTTGCCGGCCCAATTACGCAGACATGGGCCATTGATCCCAAACTAAGAGAAAAGTTAAAAAATATCAAGAATCTCAAGAATCGAACGGTTGCAGACAGGACAAGACCCTCGATTGGCCCACATTTCTCTTGAACAAACTCTGCAAAAGGTATGTCCACAGGGAATAAAAGCCGCACCTTTATTTCTCTCCATGCACACGCAGCACACCCAATCGTTCTCATTCCCATTTCCATGCCCAGCGTCTTTCCTCCCGAAGTCATCATTTTCCATCCTTTTCTTTTTCCTCAAATCTACACCGTCCGTTTCTTCTATCAACCTCATCAAAGTCTTAACGGGACCCACATTTGGTCTCCGCAAATTGCGTTCGGCGGCTAAGGCCATTCTGAGGTTCATCATCCCCGATGATATTGCCATGTTGGCACTGTTCCCTACCGGATTTCGATCGCTGACGTGTTCTTGTCTGATGATTGGCTCTTCTTCTTCTTCTTCCTCTTCTTCTTGTATGATGGTCCTGATCGTTGTTCTTGGACTCCAGGTGGACCCACAGCAACCCAGACCTTTGAATGATAGCCGTTGCTTTAGATTCTTCCACAGTGCGATTCCATCTACGCCGTTCATTTCTCTTTTCCTCAAGTTTCTTCTTCTCTCTGAGCTTACTAATTAACTCCTGAAACCTCAATGCTATTGTTCTTTAGTTGATCAACATTTAGTCAAGAAGAGAGAAAATATAAAGAGAATTCAAAACATTGCATGAATCAAGAAAATGCATTGCCAAGAAAAATTGAAGGGTGACCTAGTGCATGAATCGTATGAATTCTTGGGAGGGTTCATGTATGCAACCTTCCTTTCCTTTCTCGTACTTTTTCATAAAGAGATTATTTCCGTAACTCTTAACACATGATCTTGAAAAATAAAGTAAACCATCTTCTTCCATTTCATTCAATTATATCAAATAATGTGCAAGAGAAAACATTTAAAAAATGCGATACTTACTTGGACACCATTGGTTATTGAAGCTCCATATAGTTGTTGAGTGATGAAATGTGAAGAAAAAGAAATAAAAAGAAAGAGAAGCAAGAATCCAAAATGAATGAGAGTTGAAGAGTCAATAAGTTGAAGAAAGAGAAGAGTGAGTTCTGAAATAGGCAGAGGGAATGCGTGATGGTGGCAGGGGAATAATAGGTTACTGCAAGTTTTATGAACGAATGGTACAAAAATGACCAATAAAATAAAAAATAAAAATATATAATAATAATGAAGACTTGAGACGGGACCCACCAACCTATTTGAATTTTTTTTTTTTTAAATAAAATAAAATTTTGACATTTATGTAATGTTGTTAAAGATACAGCCACTCAAAAAAAAAAAAAAAAAAAAAAAAAAAAACCCCTATTACTTGAATTTTTAAATAAATATAAATTTTTGGACATGTTATGGTAATTGTTGTTAAGAGACAGCCGACTCGAAAAACAAAAAAAAAAAAAAAAAAAAAAGAAAAAGCTTCGTTATAGAAAAAAAAAAAAAAAAAAAAAAAAAAAAAAGTTGTTAAGATACAGGCCATAGGAGCCTTAATTTGTTGGGCGGGATCTATTTATCCTGCCTGTTAGGCCGGCCTACTGTTGCAGTTTGCGGACCTCATAATGGGAAACAAAATCTCTTCCTCGTTAACCGCTACCAAAATTTATTTACTCGTAATTACACGTTCATCTTTTTTCTTCAATATGTATACCCATTTAGACTTTGTTAAATTACTTTTTTTTCATTTATTTATATATTTATCAAATGAAATAGGTGATAATTATAATTATAATTAAATTTAGAGGGACTAAATAGTTACCAGTCCCAAATTTTAAACTAATAAAAATAAAAAAAACTAATAGTTAGTAGTCACATAAAAAATAAAATTTGTAGGGTATGTTATAAAAGTTCTTTGAAATTTGTCCTAAATATATTTTTATCCCCTTTCAAAATTAGTAATTAAAGTGTGATTGACTTTAACGATTTTAAGAAATATAAAGTCTAATGCAATTTAAAACGACAAGAATAATAAAATTTTAGATGTAAGATTACTGAGTTTGAAACACATACACATTATTTTATGATTTAACTGAAAATATGAAGACAAAAAAAGCACTCAAATACTCCAAATTAAGGATGGGAACTGAAATGTCATAAATGACAACTTACCAGATTTGATAAAAGTAAATCTAGAGACAAGAAAGAGAGTGCTTTTGAAACCAAAAAGTCAAAAAGTCATAATATCCGGTTATTCTTTGCAGTTTGGTTTGCGTTAATTGCGTTCATCTCAATTGTCAAAACGCAACAAAAAAAATGGGCAATTAAGGACTAATCGCTGCTCTAAAACATTATTTAATAATATTTTATCCTCAAAATTTGCTGATGAATTTTTTGAATTATTTTTTATAAATCCTCAATGGTATTGCACTTCATTGAAAGTGGTTTAAAGACTAAAAAATTGCTAGTTTTGACTTGAAGAACAAAATGCTTATTTTGGACAGTTATAGACACTTATCGAACCAATCTAAAATATAAGCATGAGATAAATTATGGTATCAATGTACTTTCAAGTATAAAAAAATAAACGAAATAGTAATATATTTTTAAAATGATAAATCAATTATTGACTCGATGCATAAATAGGGCAAAATATGATTTTGTCTTCATAATTAACCTTTCATTTCGCCATATATACAGCGTTTGACAAGTATGATTCAATGATGAAATAGGATTCACAATATTTTCTCAACGGTAGAAATTAGTAATTTTGCTTTTGAAAGCAAGTTAGGACAAAATATGATTAATTACAACAACATGCAATTATGAGTAATAACATGGCTAAATGGGACTTTGGATCCCATGCCAGGTGTCTAAGCTTAAAAGTCACAGGCCTGGCCCACACCGTTAAGTGCTGGATCACTATTTATTTAAGCCCAATAACACGTGAAATTGGTGATCCTCAAAATAAAATGCTCATTTCACTAATTACTACCACAACCAAATGGTATGTATGGTCTGTGATGTGCATTCTACTACATGGAACTCAATTGCAAAGCCACATTCAAGAGAATACATAATATAAAGTACATCTTTACAACAAAATTGGATTTCACCATCATCTTCGGGAATTCAATCAATTGTTGAATGATGCATAATAATGTGTCAATGTCACATTTGCGATCCACTTATGCGTTTTGTATAGATGTAGCTGTCGTCGAGTTGAATGCGATATCTAGTAGACTAACCTCAAAATTTACAAAAAAATCAGTCAAGGGCTTGAGCCAGACAGCCAAAGAAACCTACGCATGACAAATGCACTGATTAAAAATAGCAAAACATTTTTGGATCATTGATACCGAAGATAAATGTGTTTTGAGGTGAAATTATAACACATCAATAGCATGTTCATCAACCAAGTTCTCCAAATATTGGGCAAAGAAACAGCATAAATGCATAAATATGACCCAGAACTTTCTGAAAGAAACTATGAATCTTGACACTTTATTTTGATCCATTAACCAATCAACCCAATTCATCCATATCAAGTTAATGCATTAAGCAGGCACATAAAAATAATGAATATAGACATTAAGCTAATGCATTAAGCTGATGAATCAACCCAATTCATTCTCTGGAGTGCATATAGACATGAGGGTTTCAGCTAGAGAAAAACAATAGTGAATAGCTTTATCAAACAGAATATCATAAAGAACTTGCAAGCAGTTCAGCCATATACTGGACAGTACAATACATATAGCCTGATGCAAATCCGAAATCTAGGGGGTGATACGATATTTACTGATCCTCTACATGCTACTTAGGAATCATATCAAAATTTTAGCCAATAGGCCATACCAGCTGAATGAATAACAGTTGGGTGGGCAAGATAAAATTAGAATAAGAAGAGAAAATTATAGAGTTGGAGGCATAACTAGATAGATCTTTTGCCCTTCTTTTCATTTTAAACTTTGAGAAAAGACATTACAAAAGAATGACTGCAAGAATGGAGACATGACATTACCATTTTCATTTTTATTAAAAAAACCAACATTATTTTTAACACAGATTATTCTAAATTTTCTTTTCCAAATATTTAGGCCACCTAAGCTCTTTTATTAATTTCTTATATCAATTTAAGAAAGTAGCCTTTTGTAATAAGCTACTATCTTTTATTCTTTCTTTTTTTTTTTTTTCTTTTTGCTATTAAGTATTAGATATATAAGATTATTATGATATTTGATTAAGTATTTCACTTAATGTCACTTTAAATCATTTTGCTAACTCGTCAAAAAAAAAAAAAAGAAAAAAAAGAAAAAAAAGAAATTCATGATGACAGTGGCTGATTCACAGACCAATTCCCTAACCTGATTTCCAATTTGAAAACAACGACATTACTGGTTTCATTATTTAAAACCCTGGGTGCAACCCATCTAGAAGTGAAAGGAAAGTTGGATTAAAGAAGAAAAATTAAGTTTTGGATTGGGATTCAGTTTTATGATATTAGTTACTAAGATAAGTATGAGGTGTGCAGATGTTATAAGGAGACGAAGATAAAGAAGAAAAATTAAGTTTTGGATTGGGATTCAGTTTTATGATATTAGTTACTAAGATAAGTATGAGGTGTGCAGATGTTATAAGGAGACGAAGAAAAGAGACTACATGATGGAGGTGTAATTATGATTGAGATTGATAATGAGTAGATGTATTTCTAGGGAATATTTTTCGTAGTGTTTTTGAGAGGTAAGGAAAGAACAAGGAGGAAATTTTTGATGTTTTACTTAGTTACTTTGTAAAAGAGGAAATGCTTTGTTTATGATATTGAGACATTAGGGGTGTGTTCACTTTTAGAAAAGTGAAGTAGTTTTCTAGAAAAATTTTTCAAAAAAACTGGAAAATAGAGTTTTGTGTTCAAATCAATCAGTTTTCCATTTAGAAAACAGTTTTTCAGTTTTTCAAAATCCAACTAAGATTTGGAAAACAGAGTTGTTTTCCAAAGCAAAGACATGTTTTCCAACTGTTTTCCACTTTTTTAAAATCACATTTTCATAATTAAAATTACAATATCTATAAATAATTTTTTCTATAAAATATTTTCATTTGAAAAAATAAAAATATTTAAGTAAAAATTAATATCATTTGAATAAAATAAAAATAGCTTTAAGGGTAAAGCATAAACTTTTAAGTAATTATAGGCTTTAATAGAATATCTGATTTAATTTTATCTATTACAAAGAAAATGATATGTTATAATCAGCCTCTTATTTGTAAAAAAATTTTACACAGAAATGGATATATAAAAGATACTATGTTAGTTAATTATAAAAAGAAAGTAGGTAGGCATAAGTAAAGGGTAGAGTAAAAGAAACTTTGTACATAACAGAGAAATTTCTAGAAGTTGTATTTTATATATTTATTGGTCTTTTAAGTTATACGATTGAGAAAGTTATCGTAATTAAACGGTGTTCGTGGGATTTCGAAGAGCTAAGACTGAAATATATATTTTAATATTGACTTTCAAAGGTGAGAATCGGAATTTGTTACATTTTTAGCTATTTGTTCTATGATTTTATTAGTTTTCCAGAAAAGTTTGCTGTATTGAAAAAAACAGCAAAATAGAACAAAATACCGGCAGGAAACCAACTGTTTCTACTGTATATTGTAAGTATACAGTCTAAGACTTTTCACTAGACGAGAGTTCGACTGCCCACGTTTCCTTTAATTTCGGTACCATAGACAAATAGAGTGCAAACGTGTTTTGTTGCGTTTCTTATTTTTTTTCGTTTTTTTTTTTTTTCTTTTTATTTTATTGGGGGAGGGGGGGGGGAGGGTGGCGTATGAGATCGGATAGAGCGGGTGAGGGAGAGGAGTAAAAAGAGCATAGAGAGATAGAATTTGGCAACTGAAGTAATGAGGTCAACTGCAATGAAGATACGCAAATAAAGACTGCAATTAGATTAATGTCAACTCTGAGTGATTAAAGAGACAATTCTTAATGCAGTAATGCAAAGAGAGTTTCTTGCCTTACAAATTACGCATTTGCTGGCTTCACAACATGTCTGCACAAATGGTAATGAAAAGGAGTAAGAAAGATATGCGCAAAGTTATAAATTAGTGACCTGGTGCGGGTTAGCTAGCACTACGAGTCTAGAGTAAACAAACAAAGTGAAAAGTAAGGCTGAGCCTGATAGATGTAGTAGAGTCAAGCTAACAGATGGTGAAAAGATGATAACAAGGAAAGTAGAACTTAAGATGTAAAGCCAAACTAAAATACCTGATCAACGATTTATAAAGTAAGGATCCAGTGTTCAAATGGAGGAATTAATGCCGCTATCTATCTGTGCATGAAAGAAATAGCGCCTATATGAGCAAAGAAACATATACCTGTATGGGCTTGAGAAAAGTGGCATTTGCAAGCAATGAAAATATAACAATCACACCTCAGCAAACTAGAAATTACATTTTTTATGTCATACCAGAAAAGTAAACTAAAAATTTTGGCCTCAAAACTGAAGTAGGCTGAAACACATAAAAAAACAAGCTAGAAAAATTCAACCATGATGATGACGTTTAGCATTTATGATTGGGGGGGAGGGGAGGGGAGGGGAGAGAAAAAGAGCAAGAGAATGATGCAAGATGAGTCACCATAACCAAATAAACGCAATTACTAATAAATCTGAGGGAGGAAAAGAAAATCTTACAGTAATCAAAGTTTGCCTTCAAATTAGCATTTGCTGCTCATCTGCACAATGTAAAGAGAAGAAATACCAAATATAATTAGTACCTTACCTACACTACGAGTCTAGGGTAAAAAACAAAGTGAAATAAGGCCTTGAAAGTAGGGAGTCAAGCTAAAAGATAAAGATCATTACAAAGTAGCTTAAGATTAAACCAAACTAAAATATCAAATTTATAATGTAATCCAGTGTTCAAGAGGAATTAATCAACATTATTGATCATAGATAGTCCTAATGACAAAGAAAATATACTGTATGGGTTGGAAGTGCATTTGCAACAATAAAATAATCACACTCAGCAACTAACTTACATTTTTATGTGCAACCTAAATAAAATCTGCCTCAATGAATATGGCTTTGCCACATAATCCTGAAATCAACATGGATGATACGTTTACATTATGATTCAAATCACGCATTCAAAAAACTAATTTACAAAAATAAAATAAGCTATAACTGCAACCAATTTCCCTAAATCATTGCACTAAACCACAAATTTACTATAAATTTTTTGTCAAGTATATCATCATTCTCAAAATTTGGACCTTATAATGCCCTGTGGTGCAGTAGATGACTACCCCTGTAAAGAGTTGAATTTAACGTCTAGCACCTCACAATAACACCAAGTGCTGCAAACCAGTTCAATCAGTTCTTCCTTTTTAACTGAAAAGCTTGAAACCAATCATCTTGTTCTAGGTTCTCACAACTTGTCAAATAGAAGCTTATCCCCTTGAATGGTTAGAGTTGTGAACATTGCCACTTGAATGAACCAAGGATAAAGTTTATTTTCAGTGTAGCATACTCTATTTGTTATAGCCCACTTCCAGCATCAAATGACGATAGCTACGGCCACGTATAATCCGCTGCCACTGATACTGGAGCCAATTCTGGAAACTCATACACATCCGCTCCTGGACAAGCCTGTAAGCAAAGATGATCATATGGCAGTTTCATGCACATTTTTAAGTTATTAATTTCAAAAGGAGAAGATTGCTTACCATCTCACAAGGCATCGCTGGATGCCCCTAGATACAGGACGAATGAATGATGGATCACGTTGAGCATAGAGCAAACCAACCTTGGAAATCATGTCGAACAAATTTATCAGGAAAACACAATATGATATAGCACTAATAATTGGACAAGATATTGACTGAATGATAACTAAACCATCTGTTGAAAGATAACTAAACAATTTAAGCAAAAAAGCTATAGGTAAAACCAACAATGCACCAAAAATTTACAAGTAATGCAACTTTTTTTTTTTCTTTCGGTTGTACATTAAATCCGGTTGACACTATTCTTTCATGGAAAGATATGAATTATAGAAGATTTTTATGCTATAGAAACCAAAAATTGTTTCTTTTGGTGGATGGAAGAAAGGGCAAAAACATGTAACCCAACAAAGCAGAGACAAATATACAGATGAGAAATACCTCTAACAATGCAAGAGTACAGGGATCATCCAAAATCTCAAGGCTACAGTCAGCTAGATAATTAAACTGCATCAAATGGAAGAGAAAAAGAAGTCAAAGTTGATTAACAACTAAAAGGAACAGTGATAAGCAGTAGAGCAGCTTTCAAATACAATTTGACTCAACTCCCACTATAAGCTGAGAGAACTTGTAGCATATGACAGTGATTTGAAGACACTATGACATATTAACTAGATTATATACAGAGTTGTACACAGAGAGTAGTGATGGCTAAACCAGCAACAGATGTTCAAGATTTTTCCTTTTTTTTTTTTTGGTTACATTGGAAATTTTTAGAGAGGAGGAAGCACCCAAGTCCCGAGGTTTGAACCTTTGACCTCCTATATTATGAGATAGACATTAAACTTTTTGGCCACACTAGCTCAATGGATGTTTAAGATTCAAACAGTATGATATAAAGTGTCAATTGGTATACCTATGTCAGATAAAGGTATTTGGCATGGGTATGTCAACTGACACTTCAAATCATCATAAACGTCAACAAAAGATATTAAGAAAATTTTCAACTCTTGGACAAATTCCCCATTAAATATTTAACCTATAGACCAAGTGTACCTCTTAGTCATATGTAAAAGAAAATAGTTTGCGTGAGTAACCAAAAGAATAACTAAAAAGGAAAAGAGGAGAAAAAAGAAAAACACAACCATGGAAAGCAAAAAGAATTCAATTCTTTGAGTTAATGTTTTCAAAAGAAAATGTTACCCCAAATTCTGTATTTGCCAGGGATTGAATGAAGTCCATTAGTTGAAGTTTAGCCCATTCCAAGTTAAGAGTAGGGTTGTCCCTACTTGGAGGATGCCTCCAAGGAGCACCAAAACGCAACCTATCTTTTGGAATTTTTCCATTTCGTGCATCATCAGCAAACTTTTGCAGGATTGCCAGTGCTTTATCTATGGAAGGTTTCACCACCGTAACCTAAGAAGTCATAAGAGAAGATATTGAGGCAGTTAGATAATTCGTATAAAACACATTGTTAAAAATTACTGACAGGATACAAAAGTACTGTCTTTATAACAAGAGTAAAAAAAAAAAAAAAAAAATGATAATTGCACAAAGAGAAGAATGTTAGCCGGTTTGCCGGAGGCATGGCTCGATTTCGGAGAGTGCCCCGGGGGGGATGGGGGGGGGGGGCAGTGTTTCCTAGTCAGACTGGGCTTCGCACATGGCCACATACTGTAATTTGGCGGCGAGCGGAATTGAAAATGGATCAAAGTTAGTGTGAGAGGTTTGTAGAGCTCACATTTACTGCCCAAGTTAAAAAGAGTATTTCGTGTAGTTGTTCCCTAACTTGGTAGATTTGCCGTCCAATGTGAGGGTCAGCCGGATTATTACCGCAACCTATCTTTTGGAGAATTTTTCCATTTCGCTGCAGGCATCAGCAAACTTTGGCAGGATTGGCCAGGTGGCTTTAATCCTATGGAAGGTTTCTACACACCGTAAAACCGCTAAGAAATTGCATAAGAGAAGAATGAGGCGCAGTTATATAAGTTCGTATAGGCGAAACACATTGATTGGAAAATTACTTGACAGGATAACAAAAGTACTGTCTTTATAACAAGAGTAAATAAAAAAAATAAAAAAAATAAACAAATCCAACACCACTAGATCGGCAGTATGCCTCAAATGAACAATTTGATTTTATTCTGGTTGTGTCACAAATAAACAGGGCATGAGCAAGTTAATTCATTAGATATTAACTGCATTTAAGTATAGACGACATTCACACTACCGTTTAAGAAAAAAAAAAAAAAAAAAAAACAGATCGCGCCTCAAATGACAATGGATTTGTCACATTTAAACAGGCATGCAAGTTAATTCATTAGGATAAACTTGCATTATAACACAAGTTCACACTACCTTTTAAAAGTTCAGGTTATATTCCAATTAAACTATGACTAAATCAATTTGCCATACTTAATAAGTCATGAAAATTCATCAAACTCCGATAACACAAATTCACATTATATTTTACAGGTACCGGATCAAGCTAAGGCCCCTGTGTTTGCCATTTTCTTGGAAAAATAAAAATTTGTTGAAAAAGACTAATAAATTAAAAGGGAGAAAAATTTATGGAATGATTGATGCTTAAGCTTTCCACTCAAGTGTACATGGTCTAATTTATAGTGCCAAATGCAAAGCATCACCAAGCAATCGACAGACTTCTTTGTATCTTAAGGAACAAAGTCCAGATTGAACAATCACTATTGCCTTTTCTACTGGATTTTTGTAGTATTGGTCTGCCTTTACTTTCCTTTCTGATAAAACAAAAATGAAATTCTGAATGAGGGTGTAACTCACAAACCCTATGTTATTGCAGATTAAAAACTTGAGAAGTTACTGAAACATTAATAAGTACCGCTATGGTTGTCAAACAACTAAGCTAGCATGGCTTAGTGTGGGCAATGCTCTTCATCTACTTAGAAATTGAAGAATATGGTACAGGGTCAGAAACTTCAACTAAGAAAATCAGGCAAAGCCATGAATTGGTAGATAAACCTTCAAAAGCAGGCATTTTCAATAGCTACTGTGTTTTACATTCCTTCATAGATTAATCAAGAATAACAAAGTGTGAAAAGAAAGAACAGAAGGGTTCAAAGGAAAAATGAAAAGCCAAGTTGCGAGGCAATATGAAACTTACCTGCAAAAATGCTAAATATGCATCTATAATGTCCTCAAATGTACTACCCTTGTCATCCAGCACCCTACAGTTAAACAGTAAAAAAGAAATAACATAAGCAGCATTATCCTGTATGGATAATTCAGCCTGACAACTAAAGTACGGAATAAGCTGTGGTGATGCATAGCCTTCTGTCCAATCTACAACAGATGTAGGGTAGATTGGAACATTACGAAGCGTATAAAAAAGTAAGTACAGGCTCATTAACAAAATCTGATGTCCAAAATAAATAATAAACACACACATGGGGTGTATACAAGAATAGCAAACGCAACTTGAGATCTATTGGAGTTCTGTAATGGTATGCAATAGGATAAAGTTGCCATCGCTATGTGGAAAAGAAATAATTTTATTTTTTTGAATTCTGGAATCAACATAAGCATCAATTGATAATTCAATATTATATTAAAAATGACTACAGCAAACTGAACAGTAGATGTTCTTACTTCTGGTAATAGTTGCTTTGTTTGAGAGCATAAAGCTCAAAGAGATGCCGAGGGCTTGGCCCGAGAACCTCAACAATCACTGTCCACTGCAGTCCAATGCAGATACCGTTAAATCTCATAAAGATGCAAGCAATTAAAGATAAAACTATTGGGTGGCCAGGAAAGAGATGACTAGATTAAGATTTTAAAGTTATTGAGATAGATAGAGATATGAAGAAACCCAACCTATTTTGTTTCATAATTTCCTCTCTTTAGGGCCATTTCATCTCTAATTTCATACCTAAAGAAATACTATATCAGGGGAAAAGTCCTTACTTCCGAATGACTGAAGTAGTCAGTAACCATATGCATTTTAGCTTCTTGTGGAGTCCATCCAAAGGTCTGTAGATTAAAAAAAGTGGAATGAGCAACAAATACCAAATCATATATATATATAATATATATATATATATATATATATATACATGCACACATATGGATAGTTTAATATCATCAAAATGTATATATATATATATATATATATATATACATGCACACATAATGATAGTTTATATCATCAAAATGTACATATTTGATCAGATGGACATATTCTAATTGAGAAAAATGAATAAGTTGCTGCATGAATGCACTAACACTATAGCTGCGAACAAATTGAGAGGTGAGGCTAGTGAAAATTTATTTTTGCCTTTTTATTTGGATGGAGTGAAAATAGGAAGAGCTTAAAGTTGGCCATTTTATGGTAAGGATTACAATATCCTTCAAATTAGTACTCAAATACTCTCTTCATGGGTCCACGAAACAACTATTGGAGTTCTTTCATTTTATTAACGACTGGTTGTAAATAGAATTCTATTAAGAGTTAGATTCCTAATAGGTTTGTAGTATCTTGTATAGTATATATATGTCTCTCTATTGATGAAAGAATATGAACAATAATATTTTCCTCAATTGAATTACACATTTATTTATCTATTTTCCCTTTTGGGAGATACAGAATGGAAAATCAAGTTTTGACGGTGGAAGACCATTGAAAATATACTTATTAACAGTTAGTTTTTGTATGTACATGTCTTTATGGTTTTAACTTTTAAGACTCAAAAGCTATACATTTGGATTAACAAAAGCAGTCAAGCCTTGTCCCTTCAATTGGTGTTTTAATTTCTCCCCATAGGAGAGTATCAAGCATAAGCATGGCACAAAGGAGCATATCGAGCAATTAAAATAAGTTTAAGCTTTGGCCAAAAAGCGACAATTCTCAATTTCTCAGCCATAACAACAAAGCAGCAAAGAACAGTTCCATCTTCCTCGAAACTTAACAGGAAAGAGGGCATGTGCAGACAATTAAGTCTGATTACCTATACACACACAATATACAAAGAGTAGCGTTAGTTTAAGTTTATGTACCTCACGGGATATAAATATGTCTGGAAATCCAAAATCCATGTAGGCTCGGTATGAATAGTAGCTGCAGCAACAATTTTAATTAGTTTCAAATAAGATACGAGAAGTGAGGAGAAGCTTGGGAACAACTCATACTAAACTAAAGGTCTGGTAAGCCTATGGAAAAACATAAAATAAGCATGGTTACCACTATAATCCAGGTCAACTAAATTTCTTCTAGGTTCCTAAACCATACAAAAGTATAATATGAGCAGGCAGGAGGTCATGTTTGGAGTCATAGTAGCAACTATTTTAAGTTTACTCTCATAAAACTCATTCCAGATAACATTTCAAACAAGGGTAGTATCCCATCAAAGTAGAAGTAAATAACAAAAATGCCTGCAAAATTCATGCCTGGAGGGCAAGGTGCAGTACCCGGTAATTATACACCCTAAGAAACTGTTGCTCAAATGTAATTAGGCAATTTGCACCATTAGTCTGTGAACGAGCTTTTAGTGTCAGGTTAGAATCAAAACTTGTTTTGTTGTCGAATGTTTGATCTATGAAACAGTTCTCCTATGTATCAAATGAAGGAAGAAACTTGGTTGAATTACAATGAGGAGGAAATAAAATCTGATAAGAGTCACTGAGGCAGGTGCTTAGCGAAACAACACGAGTTTGATTTACCTGAAGGAAACTCTTTTTACAGGCTCAAATTACAAACCTTTTTCTCCAATAGATTACAACAGACTCTAATTGGATCCCATAGAAAACATAGACATCACAGAGAATTGCACATGTATACTAACCCTGTGCGTGGAGTGAGAGAAAACAACCACAGTAGAGTAATGGACCTTACCTATCAGACGTGACCAGCATAACAGGCAGGCACCTCTCGTTCGCACCCAAAGCAATAATTCTCCATATCAAACTGTCATGATACAAGGTTCCAGACACCATTGAATTATCAGTTATAATGGCATTTTTAAGAACTTCAATATTGTTTATAACCAGCTTCGGCTGCCAAAATCACAAGGAAAATAAAAACCATCAACGAATTCACAATACAAAAGGACAAAACACTAATTAAACCGATTGCCAATTACTTACCTGAAAATAGTCTATTTCAGCAGCTTCTGACAACAACTCAACTAACAAACAAGGCCAATCAGTACATGAATTGGCCAACGACCTAGAAAACCCACCACTCTTATTCAAATGCGCAATGGCATTAGCTCTCCACCCTTGCTGCACTTCAATAACCTCCCTAGCTAATCTCAATGCCACAATTGCCTCCCTAAAATATGAAGCCTCCTCTAAGGACAAGTTCTTTCCTTTATCCTCTAACCCCAAAAGCTCATCAATCTCTTTGGCATTTGATCGAGCAGATAGAGCGAAAACTGCCCGGTCCCAAAGAACCGAACTAGAAACCTTATTAGAAACAACATTTCTTGATCTAGATTGAACATTTTTACTGTTCTGGAGTATTACGCGGCGAAGAGCAGTATCAAGGCGGTGCCATTTGTTTAAAGTAGAGAAAATTTGATTAGAAGTAATAGTACCAAGCTGGATTCCCTTATACGCCATTGATTCAAGGCAAGTTTCAAGCAGATTTTTGCAATCTGACAGAGTAGGCGATTCGCAAGTGGACCAAGACGCCCATGGAAATGAATTATTGTTATGCGGATGGTGATCTTTGATTGATTGAGCAAAATCCACGTAGCCAGTGATATGAGGACCTTTGTTCCAGTCGTTAAGGAGACCTAAAAGAAGCAAACCCAAGAAAAAAAAAAAGCATTAGACATTAAAATACACACAAAAAAAAAAAAAAAAAAAAAAAAAAAAAAAAAAAATGACATTAAAAAACACACAAAAAAAAAAAAAAAAAAAAAAAAAAAAAAAAAAAAAAACTAATAACAATGAGAAAGAAAGGTCTTGTACGGTCGGAGGATGAGAGTTGTTTTGCCGGCGCCCGGTGGCCGTGGAAGAATGGAGGCTGAGGACTCGGTGGTGTTGAGCGTGTTGTTTAAAAAAAAAAAAAAAAAAAAAAAAAAAAAAAAAAAAAAACTAATAACAATGAGAAAGAAAGGTCTTGTACGGTCGAGGATGAGAGTTGTTTTGCCGGCGCCGCGGGGGCCGTGGAGAATGAGAGGCTGAGGGACTCGGTGGTGTTGAGCGTGGTTGTTTAAAATTGTTTCTAACAACGGTCTTGGTATTATCTTCCATGACTTGTTCACCATTTTCTTCACACTCGCTGCGGCTGCCGGAGGTGGTCTAGGATTTGTTAAAGGAACAGGGAGTGCGTGAGGGGTTTAGACTTGAGAGTCGGGAGTTAACGAGTGAACTAAAGACTGGGTGTTGGGTTTTAGCCCAAAAGAGGATCAAACCCAAGTACCTTAATTTACCTTTGTATTTATGCCGATAAATGAAATAAAGAGATGTGTCTGCGCATTAGCAACCCAATAACAACAAATTTTAAGACGGATATATATGATTAAAAATAAACTTGAAATAATTTAAATATAATTATGAAAAAAGTGTCTAACTTTATGAGTTATTTCACCCTTTTTTTTTTTTTTATTAGCCTGCAAAACAAGCATTGGTCAACTGAAAATTGTACCCTCATGCCAATGTTCGTTAGACTTTGGAATGTGATTACTTTTTTTTTTTTCCCTTGAAAAATTGTCCATTATGACTCTACATTTCGCATTTTAGTAATAACCAGGTACCGCAAGGCAAATCTATGTATTTGGCCATTCAAAAATTAAAATGTAACTTACAATTCATAAGAATGTTCCTTCTACTCCAATAGTTGCATTCCCCACAAGTTCTGCAACAACTTGCCCACAATAGGACGATGGCTGAAGAAGGAAACTAAAATAGGCAATAGGCGAAATGAAAGAAATAATGCATTTATTGAATTGATACTCATGATTCTGTAATCATAGAGACAGACCATCTCATATTGCAAATTAGTATCAGATATCCCAAAAGAGGAATAAAAGAACTATACAAGCTTTTATATCATTAAACTGCAAAGGTATCTATACATACGACACTGAAAAACAGCAATGTTAAATTCTAGGTATCTACCCTTTACAATGTTGGAGAGACAAGAAATACAGAAGAGTGCACCCTATGCTACTCAAGCTCTTCCCATAATATTTATCATATTGTAATGATCTGAAGTAAAAGTGTGTGTTCCAGCTTGGTGAACTTCTAACTCTGCTTACTTTTGAGATTGACATTACATGATAAAGAATTTCCCCATTCTGCTAGGTTGATGTCCATAAATAACAGCATGCAGATAGCAAAACTTGGCACACAGCATCAACCATATCATCAGGCAAGCAGCGCTATTTTTTCTCAATGTCCATGACTGTAGTATAGCTACCGCAACCTATAAGCAAAAGGATCCCTCAGATTCCTCATTAATGAAGAGATTTAAGATGAGATTTGCCGAATGTACTCTTCCAGAAACCATGGACTAAAGGAAAATTCAGCCAGAAGCAGACCAAAGTATGGGAAAGTAACTTAGCAAGCAAATAGAACAGGCTGACAAACTATTTGCATTTTGAACTGCCTTTGCACATGTTCCTCCATTTGTCCTTAAGGTCTACTGTAGTTCGGTGACTAAATACCATACTACCATACTCCAAAATTTTCTTCCACGGAATAGTTCTGTCACCAACAGTTGCAAATTTCTGCACTCCTTCCTATAAAAAAAAAAAAAATTAAAAAAAAAGGAAAATATGATATGTACCAATGAAAACTGAAAAGAAGAAAAGAACACAATAGTCAAATGGACATATATGATGCAGCATATATAAAAATGTAAAAAGCATTTCAAAGGGAAAAGTATGGTTTAACATTTTCGCACCCTGAGGTCTGCTCCTTTTTTTTATTCAGTACCTAAGATTTTCATACTTATCGGTTTAGTTTTACCTTTAGGCTGACATCATCAAAACAATCTTATATTGCACTAATGTGAAAAAGTAAAAATTAATTTTGAAAATTATCCATTTGACACCGAGCAAATCATCATAAGACATCACGTCAGTGCAATGTTATCAATTCTTTGTTCTTGTAAATTAAAATTTGATTACAAAATTTCTTTCTAGAAATATAATAACATCATTAACGAAAAAAATTCAACTCATGTAATGAGTTATGTTACATCAGATAAATAGTCATAAATGCAATGTTAATAGTGTCGACAAAAAATGATATTTAAGTGAACAAAGGATGAAACAGTCAGGTACTTGAACGATCCCCACCCCTCCCCCACCCCAACCTCCCCAAAACAAAAAAGAGAGAGAACCACAGCCTCCAAAGTGAAAAACAAGTAACAACAGGGATTTTTTTTATTTTTTTTATTTTTTTTTTGAATTTTACCTCGTTATGAAAAGCAAAAGCAAAACACCATAACATGTGCTTGACAAGTTACAAAGACCAGACATACTGCTAAGAAAATCACCATTTACACATGCAAGCACATATAACCTTGATTAGCTTGTATCAAGAGTATAAATTTTTGCTTCTATAAAGTAACAAAATGGACCACCATGAAGGCATTTTAAATCATAACTGCACAAGTTAATTATGTACCTTAAGCATCTCTTCCTCCTTAGCTGTCCATGGAACTTTCTTTCGCCTCAATATCTGAGGCAATGCTGGGGATACACTGCACATTGAAACAGAATTTACATATACCATCAATTATTTTTCACAGAAATTATATTCTACTACTTCCTAATACACACACACACACACACACTCCAAAAAATAGTAATAAGAATACAATAATAATATAGAGAACACTGAATAATTAGCAGTAAAAACTTACTATTCCGTCCCTCTCCCCCGGAATTTCCTAGAGTAATTAGAGATTATATTTTTCTCATTTCCCTCAACAGAAGTTTCTCTATCAATATCTATGGCACCAACAGGCTTCTCAATCAAATCACTATTCTGTTGCTCTAAAACTGTCCTCTGAATTCCTCCTTCAGATTGTTTTTCATTTAAAGAGACAAGAACCTCTTTGTTTTTAGACATTTGATTATCACCATTGCTCTTTGGGTCAGCACAAGTTTGGTCTTGTCTGTCAGTTTCCCTTACATGTTGGCATTCTGGAGCCAGCTCTTTCCTTTCCTTTTCTCCAGGAATTACATTTGGCTCTTTTTCTTTATCCAGTAAATTTACATCAAGGCATGATATTATGGGTTTCATTGGTTGCCTATCGCCTTGTCTTTTCTTAAGTTGGTCATTGACTTTATTTGCATGCCCTTCATTATTTGTTTGATCATATTCTTTCTCTGCCAAACTCCCTCTCTCATGAACCATGTGAAGATGACATCCATCTTCATTCTGTTTAAAATTATTTTGTTGGTTGCTATGTGATCTCTTAGTACGTCTACAAATAAATGCACCTAGTTCCTTCCTAGCCAAAGAGGCTTTTTTCTTGGCTTGGAGATACTCGGAGATAGCAAGTGAATATGCACAGAATGGGCAGTAAAAATCCCCCTTCTCATCAAATCTTGGTGAGGAACCCAAGCACTTTTCATGAACCACCAATGGACAGCCAACAGCATTACAAACCAACAACTGACCACCTTCACTACATTTCACACAAAGGTTTAGCTGTGTCCAGCTTTCCTGGGAAACATGACTTAGTGTGCACTGAGAGCTCAAGAAATTACTCTTTTCCATAGCAACATCAACCCTCTGATGATGATACTCATCACCATCAATTGAAGTGTCTTCTTCATAAAAATGCTCCATCCGACAATCTGCTTTTTCAACTGTAATTCTTCTAGAAATTTCAGTCGAGGAATCAGCATTTGCTGATTTTACTTTATTACAATCGCTGTTAGCATTGGTGTCAGCAGCAAAGACCTTTTGCTGGCTTCTTGCAGAGGGTGCATCATTTGATGTGCTAGGTTCAGCTTTATTGACTTCATCCACCAACGTATATTGACATGGTCTATCTCCAGATGCATCTGGCAGCATGTTATTGGCATTATGATCATTCTCACATTGATATTGCTGGAATTCACCATCAGCATTAGCATTAGGACTCCTCCCAGGCCTCTCTATAGCAACAAATTTGCTATGATCATTCTCCGAATATCTACATTCACCCAACCCTCCTGCTTGAGACTCTCCTTCCACATGACAACTTCCATCCTCTGTAACTCTAACCATTGCTTCAGAAGAATCTTCTACCAACTCATTACCACATTGAGGATTCAAAACATGTTCCATGCACTTATTAGCACAGAAGGTATCTTGCTTAAACCTCTTGACATTTAAATTGCGATCACCATCTTGTTCATCCTGGTAGTCTCCAGCTGGATGTTCATTATCCATATCATTTTTTTTCCTCTTAAAAAGTAAAAAATTTCTATGATATGAATCACCTTCCACCATACCCTTCGTATTTTCAAGTGACAAAAAAATGGTGCCCCCTTCTGGTGACATAGTTTGTGAGTCAGAGCCATTACTGTCAATCCCCCGTGTAAGCACATTATGACAACCATAATCCACAATGACCCTATCATTCCCAACATTTTTATGCACCAGCCCACTAAGTTCTGTCAAGGAAGCAGTATATGGATGGGTACCTTCAAGAATTGTATCTTTCAGCTGTTTGTAAACAACAAAGTAATCAAACATAGTAAATGATGAACAATATATTTTTTAGTAATTACCTGACAGGGAAAGATATTTCCAATTACCTGTTCTAAAGCACATTTTGGCACAGAAGCTCTTTTGTGCATGATGAACAGATGAATATCCCATTTCAACAGATTCCCTCCTGACATTTTTAAATCTGACACTGCTCTCTGAGAATAGAGAAATCCATGAATTCGCATAAAAAAAGTACCATAATTTAACAAAAGGATAGTAAAAGAAATCTATTATTGCTTCAAACTATACTCTCTTGAACAGTATAAAAAGTTGTTCCTTTAAAAAAAAGGCGAAAAACTACCTCTTTCAGTACAGATTGGAGCACATCTTCACAGCTCTTTGAGAAGTCAAATGCATCTTTTGGCTCTGTCACAGAAGGAACATCATCCGCAACTTCTTTACTAGTAGCAAACAACTGCTCCAAGCATCTTAAAGCAACCATTTCCCTTGTGCCGTTTCCCAAATCCTCAGATAATTCTGGAGCCTCATCAATCAAATCTGAAAGAAGTGAACCATAAAAATACACCTTAAACCTTGCCTATCCAAAATTAGCTTCAGATATTTCATATCTTGCCCATCAAAAACCAATCAAAACAACATTTACTTTTAAAATACATGTAAATCATTCATATTCAGTGATACATTTATGTATACATACCATGTAAAATTGATGGATCCAATTGCTGGAACTTTGCCAGATACTCAATAGCCAAAAGCCACGCCATCCTCGAATAGTCAGCCATCAAGTTTGACATTCAAAATGTTCTTAAAACCCGCAACTTTTTTATCTCAAGTACTGTCATTTTTCCCATAAAACGGCTGCATGGATGACAAAAAAAAAAACCCATTGTACAAAGAATGCCACATAAAACTTCTTGTTTATAAACAATTACATAAAATGCATAAAACACAAACTTCTGAGCTTCCCACTTGTTTGTATCTCCATAAATTATTATCAAAAATACTTCCACTCCTAAGTTCTTAACAATCCATATTGAGAATGTATATATTTGTATTGCAATATCAGTTCAAAAAAAACCTCAAAAATCCCATTCCTACTGTCCTACGTCAACAAATCATCAAATGCTAACAAAATTAGCCCAAATAGTAAATGAAAAGAAACAGAATTTCAAAAAGAGGAAAGCAAAGGGTATATAAAGTTGTTTGCATTTGCTGAAAATTTCATGAAACCAAAACAAAAACAAAACACATCAACAACTAGTTATCACACAGAACACAAGTACAATTTTCTCACAGTCATAAACAAGTATGACTTCGACGTATATATTGCAATGAGGCAACATAAACTATAAACAAAAATAGAATTTAAATTTTCTCTTTATAGTTTGATACTTTAACAGTGTGCGGAATAATGGAATATGGAAATAATATTTTCCAACGTGAAAAAAGAAAAAGTCTTTTTCTCAGGGAAGAAAATAATTGAAAATTGCAGCAAAGGTAACTTTTCTATTTTCTCATTTACATAAAGAAGAACCATAAACACTAAAACCTGAACAGATAACATACGGTACTCTCCCAACTTAGAATAAAAGCTTAAAGAAAACAAAAACTAAAAATATGAATATTCTACATGCTTTTCGTGAAAAGATAGAGAATTTTAGAGAGAGAAAGAAGAAAAAAACATACGCTGTAATTGAGAAGGCAAAATTGGGGACTCGTTACCTATCACTCTTTTGATTCGGTAAAAAAAATTATGTCAAAGTCTATTTTATTAGAAACCTAATTACGATTTCCAGATTTTGCTATTTTAGGGATAAAAAAAAATATAGCAATTAAAGCAAGGAAAAAGAGAGTATGGAACATTTACCTTAGTATTGCTGGTAGCCTGGTACCGGAAAAGGTAGAATGGTTGCTTGATGAAGCTTCTTTTGTGCCTGCGATTGATGAGAACACTGAAATTAGGGCCAGAGATCGGTAACGAGGTTGAGGGCCAGATGGTTCGTTCATATGGCGAAACGACGTCGTGTAAAAGGCGGAGGATTTTTTTTTTGTTTTCGAATACAATTGAGGGAAATCCCAAAACATCAAGCATCTCCAAAGATAATAATACTTGAGAGAAGATGATTCAAATCTAAATCTATTTTCGGTTTGATATCCAATTAATTATATCTTGATGTGAATCATATCGTGAATTGCTCTTATTTAACTGTCACATCAGAAAAATGAAAAAGATTGTTTTAAAAAAAATACTCTTCAATACTACTATCTCAATTCTATAATAATTGTTACATTTGATAAAATAGTTTGTTACAAAATGCTTGTTACATTTATGGTTTCAAAAAGTAATAAATTTATTTTTTTCATATTTACCCTTTGTATAGGACCAATAGTTATTATTTTAATTTAATGGTTTTTTAGAGTTTTTTTTTCCTTATCAGCAAATGTTTAGGAAAATTTTATATTATCCAAATACTAACACAAGCCAATAAGCCCCCGCAAACATCGAACCTAACTCAGATGATTTAAGTAAAAAAGCCTGGTCAAAACATCAAAACTTACCTAAACTAAATACAACAAAAATCCAACACTATTAACTAATATATCCCATAAAATTATAAAGCCAAAACAGCATATGCAATAATTTCTAGCTATACCAACCATCCAAAACCATTTCATGAAAAATGATAAGAGAGAGTTAGCAAGCAACGATTGTAATAAGATATTCTTAAAACTCAATTAGTGTTAAATTAAGCGTAATATAATTAATTTACTTAGCAATTTATTGTAACTTAGACAAATTTAATTGTTTTTTTAAGGAATGTGAAATTTTAAATGTGACAAATATTATGAAACAGATGTAGTAATATCTATTTGGTATATCAGGCTCAGGTGTTAAAAAATTTGAAAAAAAAAACATTGTTTATCATATTTTCTATTTCTAGAGGGTCTCTTTGACCGTGTGGCTTTATTAGCTACAATTCACATTAGCATTTGAGATGTTCCGAAAATTTGTAACTAGATATGACCAAGCTACACCATACATTATCATTCAGAAGATTAAACATGACAGAAGGGGATCAAGGAAAAACTTGCCTTCATTCAGTAGAAGTTACAGCCAAGTTAGCTAATTTATTTGCAATCTAATTTGCCTCTCTATAGGAGCATCTTCAATACTAATATAGATTACTCTTATCTAATTGCCACATTAGAAAATTGGAGAAATTTTTTTTAAAAGAATATTCTTTGATGGTAATGTCTATTTTGTTATGTCAAGCTGATGTATAAAACGATAAAATAGACATATAAGAGGATATGAAAATATCACATTGGAGAGATTTTTAAAATCAATGCTTTATAAATAAATATTTAGCCACATAATCATTGACATCTTCTTTTTCATATGACATATCATCCAATATTCATATTAACATTAAAGATGCTCTAAGAACATCTCAAATGTTAATGTGAATTGTTGTTATTCAATTGCCACTCAAAAAAATGAAAAGATCTTTTTTTTTTAAAAAATGCTCTCTAATGTTAATGTATATTTGATATGTCAAGCTCATAAGTCAAAAAAAAAAAAAAAAAAAATTAAATTAAAGATGCTCTAAGAACATTCTCAAATGTTAATGTGAATTGTTATTCAGATTGCCACTCAAAAAAAAATGAAAAGATCTTTTTTTTTTTTAAAAAAATGCTCTCTAATGTTTAATGTATATTTGATATTCAAGCTCATTAAGTCAAAAAAAAAAAAAAAAAAAAACACATTTTAAAAAAAAAAAAAAAAAAAAAACACATTTTCAACCATATATTCTATTTCTAGAATATCTTTTAGACAATATGGACATTTATTGTTCTTATAGTGATTGTCTGTATATTAAATTGTGGACTTAGAAAAGAAAAGAAGAAAGAAAACGCAAAAATTTGAAAGCAATGGAAAAATATTTTAGAAATTTAATGTCTATTCAGCCATATTATCATTCATACTTTCTATTGTATATGACACATCAATCACAATATACATTAGTACTAGAGATGCTCTAATGATAATAATAATGTGGAAGTTGCCAGTTTAGAGTATAAAAGGTGGGGGATGTGAAAGATAAATGTTCAATTTTCAATTAGGTTTAAAATTAATTTTGGGATGGATTTATATAAATTTTATTTTTAAAAAAATAAAATGTTAATTTATATTTTATAAATCTTTAAAGTAATAAAAAATTTTAAAAAATAAAAAATAAAAAACTAAAACGAAGTGAAAATCAATAATGATATGTTTTTTTTTTCCCAAAAGAAAAAAAAAAAAAAGAATGACGTGTTTAATCTTTGGTATAACAATGATATTAGGTGAGGACCAAACTCTTCAAAATTAAAATTTTTTTCTTATAAATTTTATGTATGTTTTTAAAATATACATATTGAGTTCTAGTCCCAATAAAAAAAAAGAGATTTACATTCCATTAAGTATATTATGGAATTCATTTATGAATGAATTCTAAATAAAGTTTATTTGTAAATGTTTAATGTTTAGTATGGTTAATTTAAAAAATGTAATTTAATAGAATTTCACATAATTATTTATGGAATAAATTTATAATTAAAAATTTATTTACTTTTATTTCCTAAAATATCCTTAAGATTGTAATTTTATAAAAATAAGTAATAATTATTTTTCTAAATTTTTTTTTTGTGTAAACTATCGGTATCGGACCCTATTACCAGAGACAACCTAATCCAGCTTGAGGTTTAGTCACAATTAAAGCTCATCGTCCCTCTCTGTAGGTGCGTTTAGTGGAAATCGAATATGAGAGCTCTTTCCACATTTCCAGCTTGCGTGGCCAACTAAGCCATCATCTGTAGGTTATTTTTCTATTTTTTATTAAAATAAATGTGCAAAACCAAAAAAATATTGATAAAATTATTGCATTTTAATTTAAATGTATATGTACTTGAATCTTTCTCTCCCTCTAATAGTAAAAAGAATGCTAACAAAATATTAAAAAAAAAAAAAAAAATTCAAAGAATTTTTGAGACTTTACACCCCAAATCTTACTCTCTATGCCCCTATGTTCAACGGAGACTCATAGCACAACACATTATCCAATTCAGAAGCCAGAAAGAAGAGAATGAACTCATTTGGTGGCCGCATGAACCGGTAATGGAGCTTACTTGCCTTTCTTTTGATTCCATTGACGATGCTGATGCAATTCATCGAGCTCTAAATCCTATGATCTTGGTCGTAAATTTCATGTAAGCTTCTGTTTCTATTTCTAGGCTAATATTTTTCAATATTGCTAGTGTTAGTAAACCAAGTTTTCTCTAGTAATATTTGCAAGTACCCTACGTTGAAGGACGTAAAAGAATTAAATGTGAGCTTATTAGAACACCATACGATAAATTGCTTCATAAGATTTATGTTTTTCTTATTCTTCTTATTTCTTCTTTTTCTGGTATTATTTGTTTTTTGCTTTTGAGGTCATCAATTATTTAGAGGTATCATTTCATTGATAGGTATGCAATGCTTATTTCATTCCCTTTGTTTTGTGCCTTGAGAATTGAGACATAAAGAGAGGAAAAAATGTGAACGATAGAAAATTAAATTAGAAATTTTAGGGGATTTGTTGTTTGAGCCATAATAAATGAGGTTAAAATGGTAAATTAACCTATTTGCCACGTTGGACTGTTTATGAGGAGTAATATAAGTCCGACACATGGTCAAAAATAGGTCTCCTTTTAGTTTATTGTACAATCCAACTGTTATGAGATACAAGTCGAGACACTCCATTACCACTATTTTCTATTGAGACACAAAAAATAATATGTATGCCTTGATTCTATTAGTTCTCTGTTTAAATAATTGAATATTGCTTTTTTTTTTTTTTTGTCAATAATATAAGTTATTTACACCTAATAATCAAATTTCCCTTTAGATATACAAGATTATATACTAAGATCCCCTAAAGAACAAAGATGACGTGGCATAAAGTCCTGATTCCTGACAAAGTGGATGAATGTTGACCAACTGAGTCGACTCGAGGAAAATACTCCTAGTTCTTCCATTTACTTCCTTCACGGCTTCACCTCTCCCCCTTCTTTTTCTTCTACAATTCGTTCTCACATAACCCAAAGTCCCTCTTCTCTCCTTTCTTTCCCTCTAAGCAAAGCCCCACTTTCTCCCTTTCTCTTATGTTTTCAAACGCTTGACTGCACCCAATACCGGTCCTACTCCGGGCCAAACCTAAATGCAGCCGTCCACTGCCGCCACTACCACCTGCAAGCAATCACTACCACCGCCGCCCGCTCCACCACCAGACAAACCACCGCAAACTTTTCTAGACCTAATCACAGGCGTCCTCTCTCTTCTCCTTGTCTCCTCCCTCACCGTCCGATCATTCATCGGACGCTGGCAAGTCCTCCGCACAAAACTCACCTCTCTTCAATCTTCACTTTCCTCTCTCGCCGATTCTCCTCATTGGGCTCAAAATCCTCTCCTTCACACTCTCCTACCTTCGCTTCTCTCAACTCTCCAACGCCTCCACTCTCTCTCTCACCAATGTACTCTCTCCTCTTTTCCCGGCGGGAAACTTCTTTTTCAGAGCGATCTCGATATCGCTTCCTCCTCTCTCTCCAATCATCTCCATGACCTCGATTTGCTTTTAAAGTCTGGAGTTCTTCATCAATCAAATGCTATTGTTCTTTCTCATCCTGGCCCCAGTTCAGGCAAAGAGGAATTAGCTTTTTTTGTTAGGGATCTTTTTACCAGATTACAAATCGGCGGTGTTGAGTTTAAAAGGAAAGCGTTAGATTCGCTTCTTCAGATTTTAAACGACGATGAGAAATCTGCGAGTTTAGTTGCTAGAGAAGGAAATGTTGGGTGTTTGATTAGTTTACTCGATTCGAACAATCAGCGTTTGATTCAAGAGCAAGCGGTCTTTGCCGTTTCGATAGTAGCTTCAGTAAGCGATGAAGCGAGAAAAACTGTATTCGAAGAAGGAGGATTAGGGCCATTGTTGAGAATCTTAGATACGGGGTCTATGCTTTTAAAAGAAAAAGCTGCAATTACAATTGAAGCCATCACTACGGATCCAGAGAATGGGTGGGCGATTTCAGCATACGGCGGCGTTTCAGTTTTGATTGAAGCGTGTCGATCTGGATCGGAAGTAGCAAAGACACATTCGGTTGGTGCTATTCGAAATGTTGCGGCTGTGGAGGATATCAAAATGGCTTTAGCAGAGGAAGGTGCTGTACCAGTTCTAGTTAATTTACTCTTTTCGGGTTCTTGTGCTGCACAAGAAAAAGCAGCACACTGTGTGGCGATTCTTGCTTCTTCCGGTGAGTATTTCCGGTCACTGATAATTCAAGAAAGAGGATTACAGAGATTAATGGATTTAATACAAATTTTGCCTAGTTCAGAAACGACTGAGCACATTTTGCGTTCAATTAGTTTTCTCTCAGTCTCAGATTCCATTTCTAGAATTCTATCATCATCAACATTATTCATTATTCGCCTCGGCGAATTTATCAAGCAAGGGAGTCTATTTTTGCGACAAATCTCTCTATCATTACTTGCTAGTCTATCAATAAGCGATGGCAACAAGCGAGCAATTTCTGGCTGCGTAGCTTCATTGGTTAAGCTAATGGAATTGCCAAAGCCTGCCGGTCTACAAGAGACGGCGACGGTTGTGTTGGTGTCGTTATTGGCTGTGAAATCGAATAAGAAAGAATTGGTGAGAGACGAAAAAAGTATAATGAAATTAGTGCAGATGTTGGATCCAAAACATGAACTGGTTGCCAAGAAGTTCCCGGTGATGGTGGTAGCGGCTCTAATGAGTGGAGGAAGTGGTGAATGTAGGAGGAGACTTATGGATGCCGGAGCTTACCAACATTTGCAGAGATTGGCGGAGATGGACGTCGCCGGAGCTAAGAAGGCGTTACAGAGACTTACCGGTAATAAGCTAAAGAATATATTCTCCAGGACTTGGAGGGAATAATCACAAAAGTAACTAACCCCCGCCAACAAAAGGTACGGTTATTTTTTTATTATTTTTTTAAGGTTAAAGTTGATTTTTAAGATTGCCAACCATAAGCTTCCAAGTGGCTTTGATGATCGCTTGTTTGCGTACACATTATCTAAGTCTAAATATTTTTGCCCACACCGGATCAAAATTGATAGGACCCAGAATTTGTGGGCCTCGTTCTTTTTTAATGCTGATTTTGATTCGTAGAGCGGTGGACTTATATACGAGGTAGTTTCGTGGCAGGTCACATGACCACAGTAGCTATATGCATTAATATTAAGGTCATAATGTGATAAATGACAACTGAAAAAAACTAGTTGGCGTTTTTCTTTTTTTCAGTTATACGTGCAAGTTTCCAAAATTTTGATTATTTGATTTACACTGTTTAGATTGTATTTCTTTTATTTAATGAAATTTCCATAAAAAAGTGAGATCCATCCTGTTTTAAAGTAAAAATATTAGATAAATAAAGGTTAAATAGGTAAAATCACCCTTATATTTGTCTAAAAAAATTCTGTGACACTCTAAATAAAAGATTTTTGTGATAAGTGCAAGGATGACTTTATGTGTTTAACCGATAAATGAAATAAGGAGATGTGCCTGCACATTTGAAACCCAATATCAAAATTTTGGACGGAGATATATGATTAGCAATTTAATTAATAAACTCGGAAGAATTTAGATAAGGTTGGTTAGACTTACGAGTGTTTTCTTTTTACATTTTTATAAGCCTGCAAAACAAGCCTTGGTCAACTAAAAATTGTGCCCCTCATGCCAAGGTTGGTTAGACTTTGGAATGTGGCTATTTTTTTTATTCTATTGAAAAATGTAACTTACAATTCTTAAGTATGATTTATGAACTGATGAGCTACATGTGTATGTTATTGGGTTTTGTGTACGCCTCGACTAGTCAACCGTCCACAACTATTATAATTTTGCAGGGTATTTTCTTGGTTTTTTTTAAGGTATACATATTGTTATTATAATGCAGGAGTCTGTTTGGATTTTCTAACTGTCCAAGAGTGAAGAAACTTCTTTTGTGGACAAAAAAGCAGCAAGCAACAAACACACACCTCGTATACTCCAACCTTTTCCTTTTTACTTTTTATTTATATTATATATATATATATAAATTTATGTTGTTAACACATGATGTCATAATCTATTAAATTCTAAAATACATATGAAAATGTCCTAATATATTAGATTATCATATAGCAAAAGAAAAGCATGGATGCGGGTTTTAGGGAGTATCCTCAATTGCTTTGGTTAATTTCTCAGATTTTTTTTATCTTATTAATTCAATCATGAAGCTTGTAAGGGAGGTTATGATGATTGTCCCTTGTATCTTGTCTTTTTTTTATCAACTTTTTTTTTTTTTTTTTTTTGATAATGTATATCCCTAAAGAGTCATTGTTTGTTTTTATCTGTAATAGCTATGGATATTGGACTTTAAAGAAAAGTGTGAATGCTATGGATTGTTCATCTTTTGTTTGATTTGTTTGTGTGTTTTTATGAGTTATGGACTGACTCTAATTATGGTGGATGTTGATTGGTGTGGACCTGGATGGTATGCATTAAGGGGTTTACAATTATAGATTTTTGTAAATCATTTCCATTTAAGTGAGTAAGAAGCTTTGAGGAGGTCAGAATGAGTCTTCATTCATTCTGCTTGCCTGTTGTTTTTTTAGTTTCTCTTTCCAAGTAGGTAGTGGGAATGGATTTCATTGCATTGCAATAATATGGGAGTTTTCACTTTTCACTTCAGTATGCAAGTCTGAGTTGGCTCTTTCATCAGATTTGGTGATTGTGGTAAGTGGGTCCTACTCCTTCCTTCCCACTCATACACTTTGAGCATATCCCATTATCAAATAAGCTCGCTTATACGCTTTTTTATGATTCAAGTCTAGCCAAATTTAGTCATTTTTATCAGCTTGACTTGTCATTATGGGATGTAGACTCCCGTGATTGTCGATTAACTATTACACTAAGCTTTTTTATAAGTAATTTCTATATCACAGATTTATTTATATGAAATAAAAAGAAGAGAAATAAGTCATAAAAATTTGAATTAGTATTATTTTGTATTTATAAGAAAGACATCTGAATACTAGTTAGTTATTCTAATGGTGACATATCTCTCTTTCAGTGAATAAGATTATTACAGAAATTGTTAATTAGGCAGTGGGGCTAATTAAGATTTGGAGAATCTAGAAAAGGACTTCATGTGTATATTAATATTATAGTAAGAGAGAGGAAGGCTCGGCGCAGATGTAGGGAAGACGGGTAAATTTTTAGCAGTAGAAAAGAAAGGGAGAAAAGAGAAGCAAAGAAATACGAGACCTTCTCACATCACATGGGAATATGCTATACGCCACTCTAGGGGCGGAGTATGTATAACGTATTTTATTGTACTGATAAAATAATATATATATATGTACAATATATGTGCATGTAAATTGAGGAGTGGTCCATGTTTTTGTTCACAAGTTCACATCATGGGTTCTCTTGGTTGTCTCCTTTGGAACCCTACAGCCACACCACACCTGCATTAGATGCTTAGTAAAGGAAAAGCAATGGACTCTTCTTCTGTTGTCACTCTTTAAAGCTATTGCATAAACAATCTGTAAAGCTTCTTTCTGCTTTTTCGTCTCTCTCTCGTATGTATCTTCAGCTTTCACAGTTTTTCCTTTCAACTTTTTTTGTTCTTTTCCCTCCAACATCCAATGGTTGGGATTATTAGTCAGCACAAGCTTGTACACGGTTTAGGAAAAAGAAAATGAGGGAATAAAGAAAAATAAGGATGAAAGAATATAATAAAATTTATTCGTTAGTTTTCCCAGCTAAAATTTCGGATTTGATTCAACTTCACTGGAATCATCTCGAGAGTTACGAGATTGCAAGTTCAAATCTAAGTCAGAATGTAATCATTTATTCTTAAAAGTAGTGATTTATGGGGTTAAAAACATGTGCAATTACAATTGTTAGGAAGCGATTAGCTGCCTTCTACGCAGGTACAGTCCAAAATTTAGAAAATTGTGTATGTATGTATATATAAGGTAATAGTACGTGGTTTCTGCAACAATGTTTAAACTACAATAGAGTTGGACATGAAACCAAGTTTTGCACTACCAGTAACTGATGACTGATACTTACCTTTATTTCTTTTTTGGTGTGTGTTAGGAAGGATTTCTTCATTCTTCAAGCCAATATATGTGTCTATTCGGGCTAGATACATTTTGCTGCAATTTTAAAACAATGCTTGTTTTATACATTTAGAAAAATTAACTTAGCAAGTATTGGTTCTGAAAATCAAATCATAACCAACAAAGTAAGGAATAAATTCACTTGCTAATTGAGTTGATTCTTAGATGTATATGATAGAATGATAAACATTTACTTGATGGTTATTATGGTATATAAATAATATTTACGTTAAATCAAAGGGATCTAACCCTAAAATACAACATTAGCTCCCAAAAGTCTCTCTAATTTTTGGAGGCTATCAATATACATAACATCAAACAAAAGAAAAAATAAAATAAAAATTATATACAATAAGTTTTTTACATAAGTATTGTGATTAATTACTGCTATGATGCTAGCCAAGTAAGAAAAAAACTTACCTAATCAAATAACCTTTTTCTTTTCCCCCTTAGTATGCGATAGTCAAGTGATGCTATAAGTTTCCTCATGATGTTAACTAAATAGTGAATGAACTACATAACAATTTTGATTAAAAAATCAACTCATATTCTTAGCAATTATATTGTCCTGGTGTTGCAACCACAATTGCTGTTCATGCAACAACATTTGTTGATCACAGCCATTATCATCCACTGTTATAGGGTACGGTCCAAAGGGATCATCTTCATCAGTATTATTTAATGCCAATGCACCTTCAGGATCTTGCGCACTAAACGTTGGTGTCGCCCGAAATGTAGGACTAATTGGAATCAAACCATCAATTGGAAACATTAATTGCTCATTACTTGTAGTAGCAGCAACAGCAGGAGTAGTAAAAGTATCAATTATCGGTGTCTCGAAAGATTCATGTAGGAACGGATTATAATGGTGATCTTGAGACTCTGCAAGCAATTCTGGACTAGATTGGCCGAAGAAACTACTAGTCATTATTGAATGTTGATCAAATGCATTATTTGTCACTTCAAACGAATCTTCAAAGGAAGAAAAAACCTCAAATTGATTGGTTGTATTTGTTGGTGTGATAGTTGCAGACTCTGCTAATACAATCTCCCATCCTGTATTTTCTTGCCCTTGTTCTTGTTCTTGCTTAAAATCTTCTGGTGGCCAATCTTCTAAAGAAACCAAATCTAATCCACTATTTGTTGCACTTATTGTTCCTTGATCAACTGGCAATGATTTGTTTGAGCCGGAATCACTAGCGCTATCGATATCAGATTGTTTATCAAATTGCTCTAAGCTTCGTTCCATAAAAATAGAAGGGCTAATTCCCCTTTCTTGTATGCCCACATGATCTTCTGATAATTGAAACTTATCGTCGTCGGAACTCAAAGAACTTTGGGCCGGAAGGAGTAGATGTGGTGGTGATCTTGAATGAGTAGGGAAAGAAGCTTGATCTTTCAAGAATTCTTGTAATGTTTCTATAAGTTCCTCTGATATTTTTTGTACACTTGGATACTCTGAAGTTCTTCCAACGCCAAGGCTTTTACAGAAGTTGTAAAAAGAGGAAAGCTCTTCGAATTGTTTCGACGCCTTAACACAAGATTGGAAGGCATTAACACAAGATTGATATTGTAAGTGAAAGAAACTATCTAGAAGAAGAGCAAGACCATCGGATATATCTCTATAAAGATCAAAACTTTCTTGAACTACGGCGTATAAAGAAACAAGAACCAATTTATTAGTCTTGGCTGCACCTGTTGGTCTAGTAGAAATAGCCCTATCAAGCAATTTCTGCCAAAAGCAAATTTTATCAAGCAATATTGCAGGTTTCATTTCGCATACTGGCTCATTGCCACTCCGGTTTCCATGATGCCCATTTCGTGTTTCTTTTTTACTAAAACTTCTCTGAAGCTTCCCTGTAAGAAAGCAATCTAATCGCTCATCAAGATATAGAGCAAATGTCCTAACAAAGGCGGTATAGTCCCAAGGACTCGAATTCGAGTCATCTCTAAATGTAGAAAGATTTAAGATCTTTGTTCCACGTTTCATTGCATGGAGTACTTCTTTAGGAAAATGAGGATCACCAGCTTGAAAAATTCGAAGAACAAGCATTAACGATTTAAGGGCTACAATCCAATTCCTAGTTTTACCGATTCGCCTACCGATTATTTGAGCACAAGAACCAGCATGAGCTTTGCTTGAAGAAATTAGGTTAAGAATTTCTTTAACATAACGTTCTTCAATAGGAACTTCATCATGTCTTGTAGCTTTTAGAATAACAACTTCAAGATTTGATTTTGATGTGTTATTAACTTTTGCAAGACTAATGCTTGTTTGGTCTTTCACTGCACCAATTGCCTTCCTTAACTTGCTAGGCATCGTTTCAATGCTAATCTTTTTTATGGTCGTTGAAGAACCAAATTTCCTGGGATGTATTTGAACTTGAACATTGTTTTTCGGTTGGGACATTTTTTTTTTTCCCTTTTTGGGTTTGGAGAGTTCTGAAAGTAAAATAAATGTATGGGTTTTGTTTTAATTCTTTTTTATAAAATGGATTAATTCTTTTTTTTTTTTTTTTTGAAATCATAAAATGGATTGATTCTTGTAAAAATAGTTTGTTGTCAATGAATGGTTAGGCTGAAAATCTTTAGCTCCTCTCAGCCCTAAAAGTGCTACAATGCCTCTCAAATTTAGTTGACCTAGTCATTATTTATATATATATTTTTTCTATTTTTAAGCTGATTATTTCGCATTTCTAGTACAAATTTTAAAGTAAAAACCAAAATGCTGCTCAAAACCCTAAAATTAGCTGCCATATATTTCTGGTAAATACAGGAGAATCCAGGTAAATAGGAGATAATTTCTCTCCTTTGTAGCACTCTATCTGTCCCACAATATAAGTCATCCAAGGTTTTTGTATAAGGATTGAGGAAGTAATTAATTCTCTTATATTATAATAAATTCAAGAGTAATTTGATCAAATTATTCTGTATCTCAAAATCAATAATTGTTTGTAAAGTATTTATTATATTTAGTATAAACAATATCAATATTGGAAAAACATCATTTATTACTTTTTGAAATATACAAAATGACTTATATTTTGGTACGAATGAGTACTGTTTACAAATGATTTACTTTATTTACTGCTTTGTTGAAGTAATCGACACCCTAAAAATTATGTTGGAGCAAGTCTTACCAAGCCAATGAAGCCATATTCTGAAGAAGAAAATATTTTTACTCAGCTTATTGAAAATTTCAGAAGTGAACTTTGGGCTCAAATCAACACAAAAGGCCTAATAACTTTGAAGCTGATATTGGGCTGCTCTTTTACTGGACTGGTCCATAGGCTGCGTTTTCTTTTTATTATAACGACTTCATTTAGTAACAAGGACCATATGTTTTTGCACAAAGAAGATACTTATGACAACACATCTTAAGATCACACTGAGTTGAGATAAGATGGGTATTTTAAATTAATGGATCTGCTCCGATCCATTTAATAAAAGTACGGATAATTATAAATAGGTTTTAGATGGTAAAGATGGTCTAGTAATGGATATAGGTAAAATACGAGTATAAGACTTTGGGTACGGATTCTGTTATCCGCTATCTCACGTATATTCTATCCATTTATTAGTAAAAAATCTATTTTAAATAAATTTGAATTTAAATAATTTAAAATTTACAAATACTTCTACTTTAAACGGATTTAACATGGATATGGATAGAAAATTTTTAAACGTGGATACGAACACTTAAATAGGTTTGAAATAAATATATATAATAAAATTTTAAATGGATACGAATACATGTAGTTTAAAATTCATGGGTACCGCTCTAGTTCCGTTCCTTGTACTAAGGCAATTATTCTTAAAAATATAGACAAGTTTGAGCCATGGAAAAATAAGAAAACAAGAGAAAGAGTTTTCAAGAAGTACACTTTGATTAAAAGTAATGAACCAAACAACATACAAATTTACAATGAGTAAATGAACAATTGTGATATGAAATATCAACTTCAACAAATATGATTAAAGAGAGAACTTCCTAACCAATCAAGTGTGGTCTGATTGATCTTTTTATCTCTCCTAACAGATGTAAAAAATGAGAGTTCTTGAGTTGGTGAATATTGTTATCATCAATTTGGTAAATGTTATTCAAAAGGGAGGGATACCCCCACAATATTATTCCGGTTCATATATATATATATATATATTAAAAAAAAAAGTATATTAAAAAAAAAAAAAAAAAATAAAAAAAAAAAAAAAAAAAAAAAACCCTAAAACCTTATGATTAGAAATTGTAGGATATATAGCTACTGGGAAGCCTCGATAATGGAGTTCACAATAAAAACCACATTTTGATTCATCTAAATCGATACAAGCATAAAAAATGCTTAGTAATAATACCTTTTTATATTTTTTTTTTCAAACCAAATGACGGATTAAATTAGTAATTTGATAAAAAAATATGTTTTATTCTGTGATTATTTCAAACTGTAAATTGATTTCTTATTTTTATACCAACTCAACAACTTTAATATCATCAAAATCAACAAAAACTCTACAGTACTTGAAATCTTAAAAGCTTATAATTTCCACAAAGGAATAATAAAATTTTACACAAGAATAATCAACAAATTCGAAAGAAAAGAACAAGAAAGAAAGACAAAAACAACATATAATACTTAAATTGAAAAAAAAAAAAAAGAAAAGAAATAGAGTTTACATAAACTTAAGCATGCTATACTATAAATTTAAAGCAAATGATTTTGTTTCTATAAAATTTTTAATATATAAACTTGTAAAAATTTGAGCCTGACTTTTCTAGACCTGGTTTTTACGAACTTATTCATAGACCAAACTAATGAAAAATAAATTTTTATTGAAATGAGTATATTTTATGATAATGTTAAATACTGTATATGACTCACTTATATGTTTTACTCGTTTCTTATTGTTCTAATATGGAATTAACTCACAATTGGATACCAACATTATAATTAAATATAAATTTTTATATATCAAAAATAAATATAACTATTCCAAGTATTTAACAAAATAAATTTGCTTCGGAATCTAACTTTTAAAATCAATTGAGAAGGTAATTCTTGAACATATATATATAATTAAAAATAAATAAATATAATTTTATAATAAAATATACAAATTTATGTAGACTATGATGGACATGAACTTGTCCTATTCACCCAATATGTATGTAATAATTTAAAATGTTATTTAATTTGATGGTCACCCTTCTCCAAATGTGGCTTCAAATGTGCAAATAATTGTAACTTTATATATATATATATATATATATACACAAACCATAGAGAGATAATTCTAAACATACACTAATAAATAAATAAATAAGTGCAAGTGGTGGAAGGAATTATATGGTGTGGCATGTGACTAGGGGTACAATAAGGGAGGCAAGGAGAATCTCTCCTGCAATATTAACCTTATTGCACATGACGAGTCATCCTCTCTTCACATTTTTAGTGGTGCACCACTTTCTCACATGTTGGGTTGTACCTCATTCTCTATTTTTTTTCATTTCTCCATTTTTAGTCTTTTTTTTTATTGGAAATTATTATTTGGGAAATATAAAAATTGATATATGAATTATAGTTAAACTAATAATTGAGGATTTAAAAAAAAAAAAAACTAAAAATGAGGTTCTTAATACTTCCATCTAAAATAGCATCTTTTCATTGTCAATTCAAAAGAGAAAAAAACAAATTTGATATTCTTTAATAAAGGTTTTTAAGAGGGAAAAAATATAAATTGATTTCAAAACGATCGTTCAACTAATTATGAGATATTTAATTTATGAATTCACTAATACTTTAGTCTCGCTATTTTGAAATGACCAAATTAAGTATTTTTAAATTTAAAAATCTTATAATTAATTTTCAAAAACATGTGATAATTTGATTATAATTTATGGATTAAATTATTTTTTCCTTATTATTTAGTATTTATATTATATTAATCAAAAAATTTATATTTTAAATAATTGTTTTTTAATATTATGATAATGTATTCTAGAAACTCTAGCGACGTAGTTGGCGGTTGAAAACCAAAGATACCAACCCTGTGCACAAAGATTTAGGTAATACGGATAATTAGGATTGGAATTGGTAATAAAGCAAAGATAATTTTGGAAATTGATAGTCTCTGTCGCAACCGAAATCTAAATTATGAGGAAACAAAATATCTTGTACGCATAAACAACAATGGAGTTGCCACGTTCACAAGCCAACCACCGGATCATAATATAACAATATTCATAAATTAAAAATGATTTGTAATAAAATTAAGGTAAAAATAGGATTAAAAAGTATAAAAATTACCAAAAATCGATTTATGACGGACAATTGATAATTTTGTTTGTTGGATAACATGGCCACAAAAGTGTTTTATTTATGGAATAAAAGAACCAAATATATGAATTTACTCTTATTTTTTTTATGAAAAATTTTGTGGTTATAAGAAAACCTTATTTAAAAATATATATATATTTAGAATAATATATTAAATTGGAAAAGAGTAAGTGGACCTGTGGCACGTGGGATCGACATATAAAGATAAGATAAATTCTAGATGTACTGTTTTGTTGTGATAGAGACTAATGTCATTTGGCTAGGAGGAGACACCTTTTTTTTTTTTTTTTTTATTTCTGACTCATTCATCAAACTAAAAAGATAAGCCAGTAAATCTTAGATGGATTACCTGCTTCGTTGTGATAGAGCACTAATGTTCATTTGGCATAGAGAGGAGACACCTTTTTTTTTTTTTTTGTTCGCGAAAAAGGAGGAGGAGATACTGTTAGATCCCACCATATGGAATATTGAAGATAGGACCATCTTTACCATTTCCTATTCCATTTACTTTCTCCTCCACTTGGATATTCTTTTCTTTCAATTAAAACCCTCATTGGCATAATTACTAGATTAGTCCTTAAAATTTTGTTTTAAGTACATTAATAAGGAGGGCTTAGTTTTTTCAAAATTGTACTCTCTCTGTTCTTTTTATACTATCATGAACCAACCTAATTTTATCACAAATACTTTAAGAAAGTAATTTAACAAATTTTTTTTTGTCATTTTTTTCTATTTTTTTTTTTTTTTTTGTCCGAAAGGAGGAGGAGATACTGTTAGATCCCACATATGAATATGAGTAGGACCATCTTTTACCATTTTATTCATTTCTTTCCTCTCCACTTGGATATTCTTTCTTTCAATTAAACCCTCATTGGATAATTACTAGATAGTCCTTAAATTTTGTTTAAGTACATTAATAAGGACTTAGTTTTTCAAATTGTACTCTCTCTGTTCTTTTTATATATGAACAACTAATTTTTCACAAATATTAAGAAAGTAATTTAACCAAATTTTTTTTGTCATTTTTTTCTAATTTACACCTAATATCTCATTTATTTGTCCTCTAATATCAATGTATCGCTTAAATTATATTTCAATCTTTAATGAGTCTTTAAATGCTTTGTTGAAGCAAAGGAATACAAACAATTACAAAAACGAAGTTTATGTTTTGACCTATGGAGAGAAATTCATTTTTTGTCCTTTATTTGGAAAAGTTGCATAGAAATAAGAAAATTTGTGTTTATTTAACCTTTCAATTGTCTTTGATTATTGAAAATGTACTTTAAATACTACGCAATTATTTAAATATTCTGAAACGTCCGTAAGTATTTCTTTCAATATGGTCAACTTAAAAATTTTATGGCGTTTTTCCATTCAAACTTCATTTTAATCAGTGCTCATATAACCTATACGAGCACATTTTTTTTTTAATAGAAATTGATGTAAAAAATCCATTTTCAAATATTTATTCACATTAAATGCTTATATATACCTTTGTCTGCCGCTATCTTGAGAATCTCTCACATTAAAAGTTTCATAAAGGACTAAACAAGCGACATAGACTTTTCACATTGGCATATTCTCAGAATTACTAAATTAGGCAAAACTTTCTATATAAAAAAAACACGCAAAATGGAAACTTTTCCTATATAAAAAGAATGAGGGAGTACTATTAAATCCTTGGATTATACTCACTTTGTTCCAAAATAGAAGTTATTTAAGGTTTTTGCATAAGGATTAAGGAATCAATTAATTCTCCTAGATTATCACAAACTTAAGAGTAATTTGATCAAATTATCTTTCATCTCAAAACTAATAATAACTTGTGAATATATTTACTGCATTTAATATAAACAAGGGTAATCATTTATTACTCTTTATAATATTTAAAACGACTTATATTTCGAGATAGAGGAGTAACTCTATTGCACTTATTGTTAGTTTTTTCATCAAGTGACTATGAAATATGCAACGCTATAGATAATTACTATGTAATCTTTATGATTTGATGGAATACATTAGTAAGAACCTTAATTTTTATAATCTTTACAACCCATTTGGAACAAATGAATCATGGTTGTAGAATTTATTTGTAATTGAATTCCAAGTAGAATTCATTTGTTTGCAAATAAACTTGTCATGTATGGTATGTTACAATTTAAAATAAGGAATTTAATTGAATTTCACAAAATTATATTTGTAGTAAATTCTTAAATGAAAATTCATTGGTCTCTATTTTTTATAACACTTTTGACATAATAATTTAATAAAAATAAATAACAAATACTAATTATATTTATCACGTACAACATAATAACTTGTCATTTTCTTATTAAAATATAAATAATAAATTTCATATAAATAAGAACACTAATATTCCATGCTAATTAATTAATTATACAAACAGTAACATTCATCATAATAATTATTTTTAATTGATGTAAAAAAGTTTTATTAAGTGATTAATTTGAAAACTCAAAAAAAATATTAAGAATGTTACTAGTGTTTTTAATTGCATTTGAAAAAAAACAATTGTTGATACTCAATTTTTATAATTTTATAGTAATAATAACTAACGTTATTACTGGACTTAAAAAACATTATTGTTGGGTTGGATTTTCAAAAAAAAAAAAAAAGGGGAAAAAGATATAAACTATTGTCATTATTGGATTAAAAAAAATAATGTTGTTATGATTTAGAATTTTCTAAAGAAAACAAATAAAAAAGTAAAAATAATTGAGTTTACAGTGAAGGGTAATTTTATCAATAAACATTTAAATGGTCAATTTTATAGAATTCATTTACAAATTCCATCAATTTTTATAGAATTTAAATTAGACATACTCAATTCCATAGAATTCAATTTTTAGAATTCAAACTTGTATTTTTTTTTCATTCTAAACACAATATTTTGAATTTTCAAATCACTTAAAATTTTATGGAATTCATTTATTCCAAATAGTCGCTCTTACGGTGTGTATTCTTTACAAAGTGTTTTTGATTTTTTACAACCACTCATCGGAAAAACTAATTATAGGACTTTATAGTATGATAAAATTATAATGCAAGTAAAAAATAGTGTGATTTTGAAACTGTCTTTATTTATGTATTTGGCAAAACTTAAAAGATTATATAGTAATTACCTCTTATAATATTTCTTCTAAAAATACTCTTGATTATAATAACTAATTCTTTTTTGCTCACCAGTCACTATTAACTACTACCACCAACTTGTTAATTAATAATTATCATACGACAGCTATATTTTCAATTGAAGATAATATTAGAATGGTCATAAAATTTTTTACTTATCTCTGATATTACATTTTTTATTCTTGGCCATGAACGTATTAATATCATCTTATCACTTTCAGTTTCAGGTCAACACCAGTCACCGGTCACCATCTTAATTCTCCCGTTGTTCTCTGTTAATATTAATTAATAATCCAGCGCACGTTGATAGTTGACAGATGAGTACTGAAAAACTACTGCGTAGTAAAAGAAAACTAATATATGGAAAGTGAAATACAATAATATGTTAACTTTCAATAATTACAGACTCCGACATAGTCAAAAATAATTGTCAACAATTTCAACTACTCCACAATAAATACAATAATAAAACCCCCAAAATTACTAAATTAACCCCCAAACCATATTCCATATTCCTCTGCTTCTGCATCTGCTCTTCAATATCCTGTGGGAAACTCGCATTCTCCATACTCTGCGTACAAAAAAAATCATTTTTTATTACTAAAATGTATTTTTTTTAAAAAAAAAAGAGCTTAAATTACTCAAAAAGATTGATCAATCTATATATTTAATTTTTAATAATCTCCCATGAAAAACAGACTCCAATGTACCTTTTTACCCTTTGTAATACCAACCAATTCACAGTGCTAAAGGGTGCTCCATTATTCACCAAACAAAAGCGTGCAGTACCATTAAAAAATATTAACCACTCAGTCAAAAAGATATGTCCACGTTTTCTTCCAATTAGTGCACGCCACGTCAGCATCCCTAAAGATTCTCCATCCCATCATGACCAGTAGTCACATTTTTTGCCTTTTTAGACATTTACCCTAACCCGGCGTGCACTATTGTTCTACACTTGGTGGACCAGCGCCCGATGCCAGCCTTATTTTCTCGGCGCAATTTATCATAGTGCTATGCTAGTTATCTAACATAGGCCTAACGTGCACAGGTTAGCAAATCATTTAGAGTAATAAAGAGAGAGATAGAGAAAGCTAAAATACGCACTCGGTGCTTGGGTGACAACCAAAGCTGAGCCTCCGAAATAACAGGTACCAGCCTTCCGCCCGTTCTTTTGATAATAACTGTTAAAAGCAAACGAGGCGTGGGCCTCAATCGTGTTGGGATTATAACACGAGGCACCTGGTTGAATCGGACGGCAATCGGCTCCTCCTTCACCGCAAGCAAAATCTAGACCCGCCTGCAGCTTCTCTTTCCCCACTTCAGAATTCGCCACGCACCACGTGTTGCCTGTAGTGCTCTTGGATACTCCGCCGTTGACTGGATTCGTCACCTGCTGACCACCGGACGCCGGTGACGGGTTGTCCTTGTAATTCTTGAGGCCTTCTACTGTAAATGGGATATCGTATACTTTTTGCTCGTTAGGGTAAAAAAGCCCGTAGTTTCTCTCTGATGTGGGACCATTCTTTTGGTTCTCGTTGAACAAAGCAAAAAGATAAACGGTGAGATCTGCTTTTGGTCTTAGAGGGGTCCCACCGCCAGTAAGAATCCGACGGATGAGATTGCCGTTGTAAGCTGCTGCATTTTGCAAGCTCGCACCTAACTCGTTCTCATCACCTTTTGATGGCCATCCAGTCTCGGTCACGACCATTCTAATATCATCATATTTTAAAGCAGACATAGCAGCAAAAACGGCGTCGATTTGGGCATCAAAGAGGCTAAAATACCTTAACCCATTACCCGCATCCACCACACCAGGATTCTCTCTAAACAAAGCGTAGTCTAGGGATATGACATCCGAGTTCGATTCGTATGCGAAAAACGGGTAGGCATTGACCATAAGGTATGACCCGGTTTGACGGAGAAAATCCAGTAAAGGCTTGAAAACGGGTTCAATTAATTCGGATCTGAAAGCTCCAGCAGACGACGGGTAAGAGGATTGAAGAGCACTTAAAGCTATGGGTGAAGAGATTTTAATGTCAGAATGAAGATTGAGCTTTTCTAAAGCTTGGTGGATATTTTTCATGGCGGGTATAAGAAACTTGGTAGTGTTATGTGGATCCACGAAAACTTCATTACCAACAGCAATGGCTTCGATTTGGGTAGATGGGTAGTAAGCAGCAATATTTCGTTGAACCCAAGATAAGGCAAATGACTGGCGTTTGGCAGCGGAATAGAGTAGCTCATTTGGTAAGTCGACGGTTACTTTAATCGAGGATCCAGATAAAGCTTTGAGTACAGCCGGATCAGCGTCGAAAACCTTTACCCGCTGCAGACCTTGAGACTTGAGAAGCTGCACCACTTTCACTGCAGAAGGTAAGTTGTTGGCGATTCTTCCATAGTTAACTCCGATTGAGCCCGCATCTGCAAAATGTAGAGCACATTCTTTAGTAAAAAAAATACAAAAGGAGCGTCTGGTTACTAGTAAATACCATAAAAGATAAAACGCTACATAAAACCAGAAGGTTTAATTAAAGGCATTTTCACCTGCAATACAGAAAATGCAAAGAAGTAAGAAAAAGCAGAAGATGAAACCACGCTCCATGCTCTGCTTCTCGAAACAGAGCACGAGAGAGAGAGAGAGAGAGACCCCTGCAGAACCTTGAGACTTGAGAAGCTGCCACCACTTTCACTGCAGAAGGCTAAGTTGTTGGCGGATTCTTCCATAGTTAACTCCTTGATTGCAGGCCCGCATCTCGCAAAAAATGGCTAGATGCACATTCTTATTAGTAAAAAAAAATACAAAAGGAGCGTCTGGCTTTACTAGTACCCACATACCATAAAGATAAAAACGCTACATAAAAACCAGGCGAAAGCGTTTAATTAAAGGCATCTTTCCACCTGCTTTTCACCTGCAATACAGAAAATGCAAAGAAGTAAGAAAAAGCAGAAGATGAAACCACGCTCCATGCTCTGCTTCTCGAAACAGAGCACGAGAGAGAGAGAGAGAGAGAGAAGAAGAAGAAGAAGAGTCCTGGTTTGCTTTTTGGTCTGGGGTAGAAATGTTGCGAGCGGAGTGGAGTGGGAGCAGAAGAGCAGTACGTGGGTGAGAGTGAGGGGTTTGTTTGTGTATAAAAATAGAGAGGGTTGAAAAGATCGAGATGGTGGGGTGGGATCCACTTTGTCAAAAATGACAAGAGCAAAAGCCAGAGAGAGCCGCTGAACAAATATATCACAGATCTCCGCTTCAGTTAACCGCGTGGCCCCCACTTTTTTTTAACATGACCCCACGGAAAAAAATAAAAATCGACCGTTTTAATGTTTTGCTTGTGCTTTCATACAATACCGCTGCTGCTGCGCTACATCATTCCCGATGTATCTTAGACGATTGTTTCTTTACACGTGGCAAGCAGTGACACAGAAATAGAAGTGCAGCTGGTATACGGACGGGGAAGTAACGCGCATTGATGGCGGTGGTCGTGTGTTGCAGTGTATAAAGAAATTTTTACTCGGTTTTTCGAACGTTACGATGGGTTGGGTTTGGGACAGGGAATCGCTGTGGCTAACAGGACCGTGAAAAGGAAAAGTGAAGCAATAATAACAATAATACCCAAAATGCTGTGAAAAGGAAAAATGAAGCAATAAAAACCAATTAATAACATTAATAATGAAATTTATAATAAAAAAGGATTCGTCTTCAACGTTATTTTAGTGTCCTTATCAGCCTCCCAAAACCAAACAACATGAGAGGGAAGTTTGGTTACGAAACCTCCAATAAATATTTTCAGTTTCTTTCTTTAATTCGCCAAATCCTTTCCTCTTTCTTTAATTCGCAAATCCTTTCCATGCTGAGATTAATAAAATCTCTATTTTTTGCAATTATTTTCTCTTGACAAATGTTATTTTGTCTAAAATTATGTCATTTTTCAGAAAATTAAAATATACTAAACCAATTAATTGTTTTCTATAATTTTTTTAAAATTTAAGTGACAAATTAATGGATAGAGAGTTGTCGGGGTAATTAAATGAGATAAATGATAACTTAGTCCATTCGAAAATATTTTATTATAAGTTAGTTGATTTAATTTTTTTAATTTTAGTGTAAAAATTTTAACTGATAGATAAAAATAGATGAAGTATTCAACTTTTTATAAAAAAAAAAAAAAATTGCATGTATTCAAGTGAAATTATTTTTTATCTGATTTTTGTAAAATATTCAAATTGTTTTTTTTTATGGCTTATGGTAAAGTAAAACAACCCGAATTTTTTATTTAAAAACTTTTCATTTAAATTTTAATAATTAATACCCTAAGAAAATTATTTAATCAGTTAAATGTGTATATATATATATATATATATATAAAATTTATACATATATTATATTATAACAATTTATTTACAGTTGATTAACCCAAACAAAAACCCGGTTAAAAAAATCGAAAATAAACCATGACAAAAGTCCATGATTTTGATATTTCGGAAATCGGACCGGAGTCAAACCAAAGGATAAGCCACTCCACCCAACCTTTTCTAGAAACCCTCCCTTTCCTATGTCCCCTATATTTTTCTTCCCCAGCTGCCGACACACCCATTCCCCCACCAACCTCTGCGTTTTTTTTTTTTCAATCACCGCGACCCACACCCTACCTCTGCCGCCGTTTCTCCTTCTTATATATATAAAATTTATACAGTTGATAACCCAAACAAAAACCGGTTAAAAAAATCGAAAACCATACAAAATCCATGATTTGAATCGAATCGAACCGGAGTCAAACCAGATAAGCCACTCCACCCAACCTTTCTAGAACCCTCCCTCTTCCCCTATATTTTTTTCCCCAGCGCCGACACACCCATTCCCCCACCAACCTCTGCGTTTTTTTTTCCGATCACCGGCGACCCACACCCTACCTTGCCGCCGTTTCCTTCTTTCTTTCCTTCTCTCTGTGTTCCCATTTCTGGCGAGTGTTAGAGCCGCAGCGAACCGCAACTCCTCCAGATCGACGCGAGCATCCATTGCGCCGGCGAGCCTCCGTCACGCCTCCCTCGCCGTCGCGCCACTTACGCCGCCGTGCAACAAATCGTTTATCACCTCCCTCTATCTTCGTTTGAGCGAGCTCAGCAACACCGCGCCTCCATTCCGTCGCGCCGCCTGCTTGCAGTTCCGGTGAGCGCAGCTACTTGTTCTGGTCGGCTTAGCAACCGTTCTCTCACCTTCCTTTCGTTCCGGCGTGTGTTGCTTCCATCTCCGGTCAAGTAGATTCCGGCTGTCTAGTGGGTATAAATTAAATTTTGGATCTTTTCTGAAAATTTATTTATTTCTAGTTATTGCGATTGATTAATTTAAGTTAATATTGGTTATTTCCAGTAAATTACACTAATGTTGATTTGATTGAAGACCATAGTTAATTAAAGCTGGTTTAATTAGTTAGCACCATAGAAATTTATTGAAGCCTTGATAACAATAATATCAATGGAATTTAATTATGGACTTAAGTAGATTAGACTCGATGTAATATAAATTTATACATTATGAGTGTTAACGATGAGGTTAAGGAGGATAGGAAATTTGATTTGATTGATTGTCCGAAGGATGGTCGCGTGGATTTGATAAATATTTGATAAGTTATTGATATTTTTAGTTGATGGATAGTCCAATTTTTTAAGGAAGATGTTGCCGAAATTTCAGTAGAAATTAGTTTATTCTTTGAAATTATATATGTAGATAGTTTATTAGATCGACTCTTTGATTTCTTATTTTAATAAGTCCTTTGTCTGATATAAATTCCTTTGTATTTTTTTTTTAATTCTTAGATCATCTGGACCCATCTATTGCCCTTCCAGGGCAGGAGCCGAGATAAAGCACTTTCGTTCCTATATCACTAGTAATAATAAATAGGGCATATCATCACTATATATGCATGACAATGAACTTAATATTTATTTAATTATTTATTCATAATATTATATTATTATTATAAATATTATATGTCTATTTATGATGTAAATTATTATGGTAATGCCAATATATAATTACACTAATATGTTTGGGCATTAAGACTTGACTTGGTGCATTATATTGAGTAGATCGGTGATTACTTATGCCGTGAATTCTTCTGTACTTTGTTTGTGTGGAATTGAGACGAAGTGGCGCACCATGGGTTTGTGAGGGCGTCTTTGATACTGTCGGCCATGTATGGGAAGATCGGCGCCTCCGTGTGCATTTGATGATATATATTATGGTTAAACCACATGGTGGCCGCCTATTGGTACGAAAAAGAAAATAGGGTATCCAAAAAAAAAAAGAGAGGGTTGGTCAAGTGAAGATTAGACCGGTCGGCCATGTATTGGGAATCGGCTCCCTAGTGCACGCATCATGAGAGGATGGGCTATGTGTGAGGACGGCTCATCGGGGGTTTTGGTGGTGCCACTGACTAATTTCCACTTGCTTGATTATGTGAAGGTGAAATTATTTGTGAGTGCTGATGTTGTGTCATATACTTGACTGGTTGAATGCTCATTTTAGTTTCTTAAAGATGCATTTCGTGTGAATGTATGTGATATGCATTATTTGTTATTACTCACTGAGTTGTAAAACTCACCCTTTTTTTTTTATCCAAACTTGTCAGATAGTAGAAGTTCGTTGATCCATCGAAAGCTCTGTCATTTTCCCGGCAGGGCTATAAAAGTAAATTCCTAAATTTTATTATTAACTAACTTGTGTTATTAAATGTATAAATTCCTTTACTTCCAAATTATTGTTGGACTCCGCAGATGTAAGAGCTGAGTATTACTAATATTGTCTTTTATAGATGTATTGGTCTGTATATGCTCTTATTATTTATCTAAATACATATGACCTAGTAGTCCATATTATGATTGAGATGTATTATTACTAATAGGCCCGAAATGTGTTTTATTCATGATATTTGAAATTGGCCAGGATTGTGTTAGTAACGACAAGTATATATATGGGAAATTATATGGGCGAACTACGCTTAGGATTTTCAACGTGACGTGTATGGATTTGGTAGTTTAGGCTTACTATAGGTCTCGAGAGCTTTAAGCTTATCTGGATCCTAGTGCCGGTTCGGTCCATGGTTCGGGTCGTGACATAAAGTCAAACTTGAAGTGAAGATTGAATCTCGTAATAAAATCATTCAAGTAGATTGTCAATTTAATTAATTATTTAATTTTATGAAATATATCATTATTTATTCATAATATTTTCAAATACTTTATTAATTTGAACTTAGAAATTTAATTTTTCAATAATAATAAAGTCAAATTAATTTAATTACAAGAAATCAATTTTAAATATTTTCAGTATTTATTTGAATTCTAACTCAGTCATTTCTCATGGATCTGTATCGACCGGTGAGTGATGGATCGGATAATCTGCCAAGGCTTGCCCTTTTATAGATTTATGCGGCATATAGTTATCAAATAATTATGAAATATAATATAAAAAATATAGTAAGTTCATTCTTTTGAAAAAAAAAATTGTTTTCAAGTATAAAGTGGTATCATAGATCCTTTTTGTATAAATTTATCTTGCTATTAAATAATTATGTTTTCTTAGTGTAATAATTATGTTAAAATATAATAAATTTAAGAATTGCATGATATATCATTATCGACAAAAATAAATTAAAGGTTAAGATCTAAATGAAATATTTAATTCCAAATTAAACATTTCAACGAAGTTAAAGGATTGCCATTTGCCAATATGTCAAAGAAAAAGAATTAAGCCCAAAGCTATTTGAAAAGAAATAACAGATGCTTGGGCTTTATGATCAGTGAAAAATGGGCCTTACCCGTTTGTTGTCTTTAGGTCCATGGATAACCCGTTAGTTGTCAAGTTATATTGGATAGAAATTTGAAGAGAAAAATTAAAAAATTTTCATTTTTAAAAAGTTTTTTAATTATCATTCAAAATAGATACTTTAGTCATTCCATCAATTTTGATACTTTCGGCCTTAAAAGCCTCTTTTTACAGTCAAATAGAAATTAATCCTGAACTATAATTTAAATTAATTATCAAGTCTCAACCTTATAATTCCATCAACAACTTTCATCCCTCTCTTTTGAATTAAAGGACCAAAATATTAATAGAGGTATTGGATCTTATAGTTTTTGAAAATGGTTGTACTAATTTGATTATATTTTAATACTCCCCCTCTCAAAATAAGAGTCTCAAAATATTTTTTTTAGGTGTCCCAAAATGATAATCCTATTTAATAGTTAAAATATTTTTTCACTTTTCCATAATATCCTTATATAGTAATCCTTTTAAATAAATAATTTTAGTTGAATTTACCACTCTCTCCATTTCAAAGTATAATTCATTTAAGGTTTTTGTATAGGGATTGAAGAAGAAATTAATTTCGCTTCATTATAACAAAACCAAAGCGTAATTTGATCAAATTATCTTTATTTCAAAACTAAAGACAAGCTGTGAAGATAATTATTGTATCAGTAAAATTGGAAAAAGATGATTTATTACTTCTTAAAATACTCAAAACGTCTTATATTTTAAGACAAAACAATCATACTAAAATGACTTATATTTTGGTATGGAAGAAGTACACATTGAAAAAAAAAAAAGTTTTAAGATAAATAAATTTTAAAACCATGATATACTAACTATTCATCTTATTTTAAAAGTTTTAAGGAGTACAATATTTAGGGTCTTTAAGAGGTATTATATGAAAAAATGAAAAAAAAATTATAGTTTTTTCTAAAAACTTCACAATTCATTAATAATGTACATTATAATATTTCATTAGAAGTAAGAAATATAAATATAAAAAATTGAGATCTTTTGTTTGGAGATTATTTTGATAGAAGATGTTACTTTTTCGGGTAAAAATTAGTCTATTTGACAAAAGAAACTTTCTACTATCGATCGTTTCATACAAAATCCCAAAATACATACATGATAGCATAAATGCACAAAATCAAAAATTAAAGTAAGGTAAGTGTGTTTATGAACACTAACTTTAAAAATAAGCTTTAGCAAGCTTAAATTAAGATTATTTGATAGAAGATGTTTACTTTTTCGGGTAAAAATTAGTCTATGACAAAGAAACTTTCTACTATCGATCGTTTCATACAAAATCCCCAAATACCATTACATGATGAGCCATGTAAATGCACAAAATCAAAAAAATTAAAGTAAGTAAGTGTGTTTATGAACACTAACTTTAAAAATAAGCTTTACAAAGCTTTAAATTAAAGCTTTCTAAGCTCTAACTTTGCCTTTTACTCCATTGTAGAGGTTTTCCCCAACCTTTGGCCTTAAAAGAGAGAATCTCCAAATTTCTGAAAACCAAATTTCTTGAAAATAATCACCACAAATCACTTCTCAAGCTTAATTCTCTAAGATTAATTACTTAAATCAAGTTAGGTGGGTTAAATTTGGTGGATTTAACAAGTAAGAAGAGAAGAAAAACAAAGAAGAGAAGAAAAAGAGGAAGTTGGCGTTGAAGAGAAGAAGAAGGAGAAAAAGTGGTTGCTTAATAATTGGAGTTGACCTTATAAAGTGATCAAAGGGTATTTTGGTCTTTTCCCATAATTGGATAGCTATGATTGAGTCAATAGTAATCTAATCTAAAGGCTACAAATATTTTCTAATTAAATTCCTTCAAAATATTATTTATCTCCACAAAATTCTTAAATTTACTCCATAAAAATAATGCCTCAAATTTCCTTAATTAATATAATACCATAATTCACTATTCACTAATTATTTAAATTCTCCAAAATATTCATTACTTACTCTCCACCCATAAAAATCATGTATGCATCATAATTCACTATTCACTAATTATTTAAATTCTCCAAAATATTCATTACTTACTCTCCACCCATAAAAATCATGTATGCATACTCAAAAAATATTAAATAAAATATAAAACCTAAATAGTAATTTTTTCGAACCAAAATAATATCGATTCCCGAACCGGAGGTACTATTCACAGACCGGTGGTACTATTCATAGCCTGGTAAATCATTGTCCATCCATAATTAATTATATTCAATATCTTTTTCGGGTCTAAATAAAATATTATCCCCCTCTCTACAGCACCATTCATGACTTGATAAAATATTACCATTTTAAGATTCGAAAATTTTGGGCCGTTACAAATATATAAAGTTTTAATAAAGGAACATGTTGCACTACCAACTCCATTGGTAAAAAAAGCTTATTTGAAGGTGAAGATTTGAAGTCTTCAATCATAAGCAACCAATAATCCATCTTATGTTTCGAACTACCAATAAAGGAGAAATAAAAAATCTACATAAAACCTCCTCAATAGCGAGTAACAACTCAATGAAAGGAGAGAAATTAATAAATCAAAATATATAACCTCACTAAGAGAGTAGTAAAAGCACTCAAGATTTATCCGACTATAATAGATTTAAGAGACTAAATCCAAGTTTTGTTTCAAATAATCATTGGTTTGAAAATCATTAAAAAAAACTAAATAAAATAAAAAGAAAATTATTGTTAAATTAATGTAACTGTCTATTATTCCCTCTGTCTTATTTAGATAGAAAAATTAGATTTGCACAAGGATTAACGTGACAATTAAACTGTAATTTTTGGTTATTTTTTTCCTAATATATCCCCCATCATAACATTAACTCTTACCTGTATTTCTACGTAAGACCAGATATAGATGAGAGAGAAAATAAGTATATTAATTTCAAATTACATCATTCAAGGAGTGATTTTGGCACATCCAAAAACATTAATTAGAAGTGAAAATTTGCTTATTATGGTTCAAGTAGACTCTGAAATTGTTAAGGAAGTAGCAACAATAATATAGTATCCAATTGTAAATTTGTTCATAGTTTGATATCTACTGCCTCAATTTACTTAGAATATATCAACTGTTTAGTTATTTGTAGCATACTTTATCAATACATTTATGTGCTTACTTGTACAGTACATTCGCATTTTCATTACTTTGTGCTTCCTATTAGCATATGTCCACATTTTTATGATTACAATCTCATTTATCTATTTATTGTGAAATAAAATTATTTTCATGTTTTGTAAAAGTGCCAAAGTTGATGTAAATTTGTTCTCAATTTATGTATACTTTTGCATTTTTTTGGGTTAATGTTTTCGAAATGGGATAAAAAAAAAGAGAGAACAAAATATTGAAAATGCGTTCAAAAGTCCAGCACTTGGTTAAATTTTTTCTTGCTTGCTTGCTATGAGCTTTTTATGCATTAGGAACAAATTGACTATCTTCCATTCGCAATTGTTACCTCATTAATTTTGGTGCTGATTTTATAAAAACGTCCACCTTTATTCATCACCAGATGAATTTTGGTAAATAACCTTATTAAATGCACTTTTAAGTTTTTGTTTGCTGCTACCTTATTATTTTGAGATAAAATTAATTTTGGTGTTTGTACTTTTCATTTTTTATTTTGGTATCTTAACGGAAAATTGTGACAATTGAATGTTCAAGTTTGTAAATTTTTTTTTTTAATTTGGTGTCTCCTCATGATACGGATGACTAAAATATCTAATACAACTAAGTGAGACCCACAAATGTATATATGTTCGCTTATATGGATTGAAATTTTTCGACGTAGGCTTACATCTTGGCAAAATTAATGGAAAGACCGATTTATCCCAATTGATTACCCCCAAGCACCTTTTCCCCCAAAACTCTAACCTAAATCGTGTTTTTTCCCCGTCTTCTTCTTTCTCTATTTTGATTTCGTTTTCTTCTACATCTGAACACTGCATCTTGTACTATGCATTTGTAAGATTATCGTTTGTTTGATCAACTAATACTGCAAATACAAAACTAATATTCATTTGAAAACTAAACATCTAAGTAATGTTAACAAATAAAGCAGAAAAATTAACAGAACAAACAATTAAAGGTGAATGTACCAAACCTTAAGGAAAAAACATAATAACAAAAAACCTTGGTCTCTAATAAATCTCAGAAATAATATCTACTTAAGCATTACAACCAACATATATATACCAATGGTTCACATAGATGAGTCTAAATTAGAGCTACATTGAAACCATAAAAGCAAACCCAGAAGATAGATTCGAGTATCGGTAAAAAGAAAAAAACAATGGTACCTTCCTCTTGTACCAATTCTTATCAGAGCAAGTTTGGACTCCTGGGTTTGCTATTCAACAGCAACCGAGTCCCTTGGTACATTGAAACTACGTTTCTTGTTGCAATTTGAAAAACTCGAGTCTGGAAACATGGAAGAGTAAACCCAATGATCGAAACAGAGCCACTAGCGTGAAAGATAACTGGAGAATAAGGACAAGACGTCATTAGACCTTGGCTCGTATATAGGGAAGATAGAGCTTCCATTGTCATTGACAAGTCTGTGCCTACAAATAGAAGAGAAGAAAGAAAGACTGACAAAAGAAAAGAAGATGATAGGAGAAATGGGTTGGCTTTCAAGGAATGATTTCATTATCTGATCCCGTTGTCTATCATTTGTTTGTATTAGTTCAGATGTAGAAGAAACCGAAACCAAAATAGAGAAAGAAGAAGGAAAAAACATGACAAATTGGGATAATTGGGTATAGTTGAATCATGATTTATATTAGAGTTTTAAGTGAAAGCATGTAAATTTGTGGATCCCACTGTCCATATGATCAGAAAATGCCAAATTAAAAAACAATTTAAGTTCGTACCAAAACTTTTTTTAAGAAACTAAACAGGGCAAAACATTATTTTCAAATTGAATTTTTTTTTTTTAAATTATCAAATGGATGTTTTTTTTTCCAATCTAAATAGAATATTCAAAATGAAAAATTTTTCAATCTAAATAGAATTGAAGAAGTATTAAAACTGAGTTGAAATGGGAATATAATCTTGGATATAATTTAGGGAGCGATGCGTTCTTTTTCCAAAATTTTAAGTCAAGAGTATAGCCAATCAAAATTTGACAATTAAAAAACATTCTACTACTACTACTACTTATAAAGTAGAAGAAGCAAAACCAAATAATAAATGCTCTTCTCGTATTTGGATTTCGAAATCAATAAGCCCTGATTACTTCGATCTTTTCAACCCAAGCAAGAAAGAAAGAAAGAAAATCAAAATGTCGTCAGGAGTGATTGGTCAGACTCCGGAAGAAGATAAGAAGCCAAACGATCAATCCGCTCACATCAACCTCAAAGTCAAGGGTCAGGTCTGCATTTTTCTATTTTCTTCTTTTTAATTGTTTGGTCTGTTTATATATGTCTACGATGGTGTGATTATCGTTTCTGTTTCTGGGTGTTGATTTTTTGGTTTGAGTTAGGCCTAATTTTATGTTTATTTGGGATTTAACATCTGATGATGAGAAGAAGAAAGTAGCATTTCTTTTTTCGGTGTTTTGTGGTTTAGGGTCATGATCAATTTACTGTCTGCTATCTGTCAGGGTTTTTTGTGTTCGAAAGTTTGTGGCTTTTGGTCTATTTGATCACGTCGTGTGCTAGGTTATTTTCGATTAAATGGGAGCTAGATTTTTGTGATTCCTTTGTAAACAACTTTATAGGATTGTTTGAGTTCGATCAAAATGGGGATTAACAATAAGAAATCCAAATTTCATTTAACTTGTAATTTAAGAGGATCATGATTGCAACCACTTCTTTACAAGGTGGCTGTGGTCATGGCTTTTGGTAGAATTGGGAATTTTGGTGTGTGTTTTGTTTAAAGTTGATGATATAATTGTGTGGGTTTGTTTATTAGCATTTGGGAAGGGGGTGTAATGTTTCAAAGCTCAATGAATACAGTGGGTTTTTGCAATGTCTATTTGTTTTTATTGAAAAATAAAGGAGAACTTAAATTTTGACATTAAGTTGGGTTGTTTTAGCTTCTCACTTGAAATAAAAATCCAAATCAACCTTAATTTTAGATGCATGCAGCTTCAAATGGATCCTAGAATTGATAATTACTGTGGCTTTGTCAACTTCAAAACTCTTACTTAGATTTACGTGTATTTTAAACAGTGTTGTTAGAATCGTACGATTCACGATTTGAATCTTACGATTTGTATCGAATCGTATGAAAACGATATGAATCTTAGTGTAGAATCGGAAAGAAGCCTGAATCGTTGATGAATCAGTCGAATCGGCGGCGAATCGTACGGATTGCAATGAATCGGTTGATTCACACGATTCAGAAATCAATTGGAAAAATGCAAAATAAAAGAAAACTGCTCCATGCATTGTATAAGCTATGTTTGTTTTCTGAGAAACAAGTAGAAAATAGAAGAGAGAACATATACGAGGAGAGGAGGAGAAAGAGAAAGAAAACAGAGCTATTTCGAGTGTGATTACCTAAAAATAGTTGAATATCTCTCTAACTCGTATAGATTTGAAGTATGTTGTTTGGATGTTGAAGATGCATAAAATGTGCAATATTAGCACTCAATTAAGAAATACCAATTTCATTATATGCATATAATTTAACGAAGATTCTATTTGTAGGATTGTGCGAACCCACACGTTTTGGTTATTCTATAGGACGGTCTTATGGACTCCATGGCAAAGAGATCGTCGAGACGAGTCAATGCAATTAGAGAGGAATATTTTGTGGTTGAGTGCTTGATTGACTGTGTTACAAGTTATAGAGTTTATGGGCAAATAGCTGAAGTAGAGTAGATAAGTTAGTGCAGGCGTATTAAGCTGGTTTATTAGCATTTTGTGGGTGAGGAGGAGGCATTAAAATGTCTTTTATTACTATTACTTAAACAATCGAAGAGACGAGTAAGAGATGTTGTGAGTCACATGGACTAATTCCGTGAGAGCTTTGTTCACTTTGGAATAAATAAAAGAGAACGGGAGAGAGTCATGACATTAAAGCTGAGGTTTTGTTTTTTCTACACCTACACATCCATACTTTGAGAAATAATCTAGAAAATATTACGACAATACTACAAAAGGCAATTAATAGGGTAAAGGAGGACTTATATTCATTGCTCTAGCTGTTCTCATATTATTGTGAATATCTTCTGATTAGAATTTGATTACATAATACCTCGCATGCTTTTTGGTTTGAACTATATATTTCTCACGTCCTAGTAATTGAGCATGTCTATGTTTTAAACAGGTGTGCATATTTATAGTAGAATCTCCGAGAGTTTCTACGAATGTTATTTCAAGCGGCATTGAGATATACATTAGCCAAAATTTTGTGAGAAATCCAGAGAAAACTCTAAGAAGCTTTTGTCGTCTTTCATGAAGTAATAGATTTATAGAGTACGGGTATGATTCAAATCGGCACCATCCTATAGTTGATTAGGTCCAGCATGGTTGTATAGTTTTGATATGATGAAAGATGAACATATCGCGGAAAGAAAGCCTGTCATTTCGTTGGCATGAATATCTTGAGATTTCGCAAAAATACACAGGAAATAATTATTCATGACAGAGGTGCATGAAATTCAGGAAGGGACAAATAACAATAAGCGAGGACTACTCAGTTGAGATAATTCTGAGTATTGAATATTTACACCAGATCTGTTTCAATGATACATCATATAAAGGTAAAACACATAAATGCAAACACTTTAAAGTAATTAACAACTCACACACTAGTTGCGTCAAATTGTATACTTCCGTTGAACTATATGAGCGTTTACATGTTCTTGTTTCTGAGAACATGTCAAAATATCAACATGAGAAAAGAGTAGAACAAGAGTCAAACGAGAGAGAGTAGAAACAGTTAGGAAAAAGCAGGAAAAACAAAAGAACATAAACGAGGATAGCAAGTTTAATTCATAGAGTATGTAATATAAATACACATTATAATTATGCTCACTTATTATGGTAGAATACATAATGTAAAATTTATTTCTATATAAAGTTCATAGTATAGTACAATTTATGTTTAATAGCGAACATATAAATCAAACAGTGTCACATCAAAGGTAATATCTTCAATGAGGTTGAGGCTCAGAACAATTGAAAAACATAAAATATATTTTAATTATATTTCTTAAAATAAGAATATAAAATGCCAACAAATATTATTCGCATACATAAATGAGCAATTAAATAACTTAAATATATTCTCTGCCATTCTATTACATAAAAACAAATAAGTTATCGAACATTATATCATAATGTAAATACTTTGACAATTATGATGTGGATTTTACTATATTGTAGTGCTTTTCGGCATATTAAAATTACATCTCATCGTTCCACACATATTTGAGAGTTTGTAACGATCGTAAAAGGACTTTTAGTGAAATGATCAGAATATCTCGATTCTTCGCAGTGCACGAAGATATGGGAGACACTGGGATTCTAATTAGCTATTCCCACTACTAGATAATCTGGTACATAACTTTCATATGAATTACAATTTCACACGATTCAGAAATCAATTGGAAAAATGCAAAATAAAAGAAAACTGCTCCATGCATTGTATAAGCTATGTTTGTTTTCTGAGAAACAAGTAGAAAATAGAAGAGAGAACATATACGAGGAGAGGAGGAGAAAGAGAAAGAAAACAGAGCCATAAAAATAATTAAACAGAGAGAATTTGAACATATATCACTAGAGGAGAAATGACTTAATTTTTCCATATATGCATAGTAGACTATTTGTAGTGCACTTTAATCACTGTCACATCAAATGAAACAAAATATTTACAATAAAATACCAAACTAATTCGCACAATTGCTATTATATTCTCTGCAATTACAATCAGTTATTAACATATTATGATTTGCATTTGGATTTTTAATATTTTTTGAATAAAATTGATAATTTTTAATTGAACGATCGAATCTTATGATACAATTTGATTCTCGATTCAAAAAATAGGGATTTCGATTCTCGATTTGACAACTATGATTTTAAAAGATCTCGAGTCTTGACAAGTTGCAGCATAAGAGGACTATTCATCTGGTGCCCCCTCAAACTTTGATCATGCTGTGGCATATGTAGTTATTAAACGGGCTGTTTTTGGGGATTGGGGGTGCTCGAGCGTTTAGAAAATAGGATTAAGAGACGAAAACTGTAAAGCTTGTTAAAAAGAGACTGTTTCATAGGTCAACCATTTGTAGACTTAAATGTTCTGTGTGTTTTAATGGGGCATGAAGTGTGTTGTCTGTAAATATAGGACTGAATTGTACTCTAGTTAAATCATATTATAATTTTTCGTTTATCATTTTTATGGAAGTGATAACTTTTATAAATTAGTCCTAGGTAAAATCTTAGATCTGAAGAACTATTAAAAAGAAGGTAAACGGTTGACAATTAAAATCGTGATCAAGTTTTAGAGATATTTTTTATTTTCTATTCTATTGCTTATAGTTGAACTATAAATTTCAAATTGAACTTGATAATGAATTTTCCATCATGAACCCTATGATTGGTGTTTGTGGTACAATGAATGAATTATGCATATTAATCTGTAGTTTAAGTCTAAAAAGTGCAGTTTTGGAGAATTTACTGGATATATGGGCAACTAATTATGTTTTGATTGTAGGATGGAAATGAAGTTTTTTTCAGGATCAAAAGAAGCACACAACTGAAGAAGCTGATGAATGCCTACTGTGATAGACAATCTGTTGAGTTTAACTCAATTGCCTTTTTGTTTGATGGTCGCCGTCTTCGAGGAGAGCAGACTCCTGATGAGGTTTTTCCCCTCTCTCTATCTCACACATACAAAACTCACACGTTTTCAGATAGTGTATTTTCTGCCTGCATTGATGTTGTGATTTTCATTTGCATAGCTGGAAATGGAAGACGGCGATGAGATTGATGCCATGTTGCACCAAACTGGCGGGCTTTTATGGAACTAAGTTATTTGTATGTAAACTATATATGTAATGGAAGACTAGACCATCTTATGGATGGATTTAGGTTATCTTGTAGGTTTAGGTCCTTGGAATTGTAGTGAACTTGTTGGTCTTGTTTTGTTCTGGCTCTTGCTGATAAGTTACCTGGCAACTGTTTAATGTTTTAATAGGATTTATAATATGTTTTAGTAGGATCTCCATAGGGTTCACTGCCTGATGTGTTCACTGCACCAAGTTGTGTAACCTGTGATGGCAATGTGCATGGGAAATGAGAGTTATTTTGCATATTTTCAGTAAGGTTGGAATTTGTGATAAAAATGAATATGTTACAGTGTTGAGGCATGTCTATAGTTTCCCCTCGGACAGTTCAATTCTATCCACCAAAGCTCTCAACAAAAGTAAAACTGTATGAATATACGTATATATTTGTCTAATTAGAAGTCCCACCTCCGGGGTTTCACTCAAAATCCTTTAAAATGAGCAATTGTGGCGAAGAGTGAATTTTACCAGAGAAAGCTACAGTACCATCTTTGTAAAGTATAATTAGTTCGACTTATCTTTTAGGAAATAGATTAAAATATATTTATAGTTTATTTTTTGTAAAATATAATTAGTTCATTTTATCTTTTAAGAAATAAATTAAAATATATTTATAGTTTATTTCTGTCAACCTATGAAGATATACTTTCATCCAATTTTTACATTTTTTCTATAAAGTATTTTACGAAATGATAAAAATATTTCTTTTATTTTTAAAAAAATGAGCAAATTAATTGTATTTTTAAAATCATGAAAACTGCACCGTAATTTTTTTGGTATAATGTTTTAATCTCTCTTTTGACCTCTATATTTTCTTGTTGATTTGACAGAATGACCTAATAGTTCAACGGAAGTAAAATATAGAGACAAATTAGTATATTTTAAAAAGGATTAGTATATTTTAAAAAGGATAAAAACAGACTAGTTATATTTTATAAATTACAGAGATTGTATTGTAATTTTCCCTTTATTTATTTATTTATTTATTTATTTTTTTGCGAAACAAGATTTATGCCAAATGCATGAATTGTTCTTCTCATTCAAATCAACCATGGCCTATCAACTATAGGATTGGTTTGACAACCACAGAATCTATACTCCATGAAGACGAAAAGCTTCTTAAGATTTGATTTACAAATTTGGCTGTACAATGCTATACATCCAGAAACTTGACTAAATATGCACAATAAACATAAAGATCAAAAGGACATGGAAAAGCAAAAAAATGGGGAGGTTTATGAAACTAACAAATATACAAAAGAACAAAAGAATTAAGCTCTCCCTATATTACTTCTGTAGCTATATGCTGATTTCTCAATTGTAGTGAAAAATAGGATGCCGTGGTTTTTTTATACCAGAACAAGCTCTCCGTGTAGATACACTTTCTCGCAGTTTAGTATAGAAAAGAATTAATGTCTCTCAGCTAATGTGAATTTTCCTACTTCAGCCTGCAAAATTATAAGCAACGTAATCAGCTCAACAAAATTTTGCATGCTAGTTGCGTTTTTGCGTTAATAAGTTAAGAACCAAACGTTCCAACTAAATAATTAGAATCTCAGGTAAGTAATGACATGTAGCACTTCCCAAATCAACACTCAAAATCACGGAAAAAAATATTTTTGTATGACATTGAAATGGACGGAGAAAATGTGACATCATGCCAAATCTCAGCACATAAGCCCCCATTTTATATGTTCATGGACCTTACTTCCTCTTCAAAATCCTATGCTGGAGATAAGATTAGATAAAAGCCCGGCCTTTTACAAACAATGTATGGGGTGGTATTTGGTGATTGATTTGAAAGGCTTTTGAGTAGTAAGAATAAGAAGTATATGAGATTAAGTTAAAAGAAGGATAAGGAGACGTAGAGCTAAGAGAGCACAAAGAGGACACCACTATCTTGGCATCTTGAAAGGGATTGAACACTATATTGGGACGCAACAACTTTTTTAAATAAACATCACAAAATATATAATATATGCTAAGTGGGAAGCTAATTTTAAAAAAATACTGCAATTTGGTGTCTAAATGGGGCATTACTTGATGGAGATTCTGAATTTTACTGCTAATGACTGAGGATTCATTTTTTATAGAGAGCATCAAGTTTGATTTGAAAATAGCAAAAACCATCAAGACCAGTGTGTAGCTAATATCCAATACAAAACAGTCCCCATTGCTAATTTCCCATTCCATGATGTGGTTTTTTTTTTCTCCCTAGAAAGGTTAACAGAAAATTTCATCTAACTAATGCATGCAAAACCAAATGGCAGCCACTAGATACACCCTCTCCACATTTTTTTTTTTTTTTTTGCGCAAAACCAATGGCAGCCACTAGATACACCCTCTCCACATTTTTTTTTTTTTTCAATTTTTTTTTTTTTTTTTGGCTTTTCTTCTTCTCCTTGACACGTGGAATCCAAATTTAGAACACTTTACCACAGTCTATGAAAATAATAAATAAGTAAAAGAAAGAAATACCAAACTCTGCCATGAAATTATCCAGTAGATCTTGCTAATGGAATTTATGCATTCTCCCGCCGGAGTACAGTTTTCTTTTCTATTAGTACTATGAATTCTTTTAATGGCTAACAATGCTCCAAAGACTAAAAACCTATGTTCAAACTAGGAGCATCTTATAGCACAGCAGAGTAAACTAGTGACAAAAACAGAATAATTACGTAACAATTATCAAGTATCAGCTGCAACTCTATATTTGTATTAACCATGCAGCAATATGTTTTTGATAGAGACATATTTTAGCCAGTATTGATGCACAAATCAACTTACCAGACATTGCCTTCCACTTGTTGGCTTATTATGCCTATAGCCTGAGGGCTGTGATCTAGGGGCTTGACCAAATATTCTTCGAATGAATTCCTGTATGTGATTATAAATGCTGTATGCCAACACATCAGAAAATAATGGTAAGAAAAGTGGCATTTTGTCAAAGAGTTGTGTTATTTGGAGTAGCAAACTGGAAAAAAAAATGAGGAATATTTCCTATGCAATGGAAAAAAAAAAAAGTTGAGAAATATTTCTATGCAACAGTTATAATGACAAATTCCAATTGATCAAACATTCTTACTTTATTATGAGATGCAAGCCATGGGACACACAAAAGTTTATAGAAATTTAAAGGAATTAAAACTTAAATGCAGCTTTCCCTATAGTCTAAGAGTAGTCATGAAAGATTTTGGTTTCTAGCAGAAACTCAGATAAGGATTCTGCATTAGCCATAAAGTAAAAGAAACATGTCTGAAGTTTGGTGTAAACATTACCTAAGGCGATGTCTATTGCAGGCTGTGAAGAACGCAACAAAGCCATTCAAAATACTCCTAAGAGCACGAAAAACCTGAAAACATTGTATTGATCAATAACTAATGAGAACTACTAGCTTAAACAATTTGGTACCATCATCATATCAACTGTTAAGATGCCTTCAAACCTGAGAAAAAAGGTCATTCCAAAGTGAGCGCCACATGGAAACTTCATAAGTGCTTATTGTTGCCTCAGTTGCTGAAGCAACCCGAAATATGCAACTCACAGATCGCCAAAGATCTCCTATCAATTCTGATATCCAGGCACCAATTAAGGCTATAAAACTGGCTATTGCAAGCACCATCCGAATTGGAGCGTAGAATATCTCCCAGAGGATCCAAAATATTGGATACAAAACTGAAGTTGCTGCAGCACATAAAGCAATTAATGTCAGAATTCTTTTGCTTCTCTAAATAGAAACTTGCTCAGGATAACTCAAGAAAACAGGTGATTGCCTACCAATGGTCCAGACCATTGAGATGATAAACCACATAGGCCACAATACAATCTGTATTAAATCTATGACTGCAGTGAACACAGAGTCAGTTGCAACCCAAATGATAGAAACCAGGTTTTCTACCACTTCAATGAGTACATTCCACATTGGAAGGAGGAAGCCTAAAACCTCCATGAGTGGTTCAAGTAGTGGTTGAGTGAAAACAGAAAAGAAAGATCTAGTAGTACGTGTGACCATTAAGAACCATGTGATAGCCTTCTGAAAGTTATGTAGAAATAGCATTGTTCCCAAGTACTTGATCCTTGATACCATCTCCCAGGTCTCTATCCAATCAAAAAGTGGTCCACACAAACGAGATGCAGTTGCCTTAAGAACCGGAACGTTTTTGTATAAATCATAAAATCCTATAATAACAGTGACAATTGAAATCAGCACATATAAAGCTCTAGCAAGAGGACACATCCAAGGGCGATAAATATGGCAAAATCCAGGATATGACTGAAGAAAGATAACCCATGATGGAAGTCCAGCCTCTAATAAAGTAAGTAACCGCAGTTCAGACATTATTATATCCCTCAGTTTAAATGGAAGATCACGATCATTGAACTTAAACAAAATCAAAACATCTCGGTACTGCTTAGCTTCAACAGTGCTTTCACTATCATTGCTTTCGATGTCTGAGTTGTCTGACAACCCTTCATTTCCAGCATGTGTTTCCTCAGAGTAAAGGTCAACTTCAACTTCAGTATTGATGGACTTTGTTACCCTTCTTCTTTTATAAGGTCCAGTGGGAGGAGGGGTGCGTGGCTCAATTGTTCTGTTGTCCACGATCTCATGGTGTACACTATAACTGCCAACTGGGCAGCATAAAGAAATATCTTCATCCCCTAGACTATCATGGCAGATATTTTCATCCTCATCAATTGAGAGAGCACTAGAGAAATTTTCTTCAGCATCATAAAAGACTTCACCTGAAAAATTCCGAATAATTAAAATATAACATTCAAGCATAGTAAATTCACCAAGAAATAAATACTCAACCCAGAATGCATGAAGAACATGGCAATGCAAGAAGATAATTCTCCAATAATCCAAGGGCAAACCATAAACAGGGAATGTAAGCTAACAGAGATGGATCATGAAAATAATTGCAGTGCCATTCTAATGAATCTTTATGACAGTTGAATGGCGTCTATTCCAATTAGCAGTGAATGCATGGAGGCAAATGACTGATCATCAGCCGAAATTGGGCCGTCATATAGGAACGTTAATACCTCAAGCATATCAAACATTTTGTGACCCACAAATCTAGCCTTTAAGGCTATCAAGGGCTTCTAAACTGCAGTACAAGTAACATTGCACATATGGAAGTTTGGTAATAAATTGAATATTAAAGAGAAACTTTAAGGAAGGGAAAAACCAAGGATAAATTAGCACTTCAAAATGTATAAGAGCAATGTGGCAAAATTAGTCCGAGTCTCTCAAGGACGGATTCAATCACTGAGTCTGTGAATCAAACACCTTTCAAAGAAGGCTTCTGTTTCTACATTTGCATCAACCAGGGTAATGATTAAAATACTACCAGAAATCACTTAAAGTATCCACAATGCTTTATGCCCACTGAATGAGGCTAGCGGGCAAGGCTAATGCCCACAACAAAGGAACAAACACACATAAGCATATGAAGGTCAAGTTGACGCCAGCTAATGCGTATAATAATTCACATGGGATCTGCTAATCAGTGAACAACAAAATCACCAAGGATTTCCCATTACATGTGTATTATACGAAACAAGTATTTTCAAGGATTTCCATCTCCATCAGGATATCATAGTTGCCAGTCCAGAATTCATTGAAGAAAGTTGTTTTCTTAAACTATATGAAATAATGAAAGCAAAGGAATACCTATTGCAGATTCCATATACTCTTTCAAGTGGAGCTGTTCAGAAAGCGTTCCTGAGAACCAAGAAGGCATACAATTTACAGCCTGCTCAATACTGTCAAATTCCCATCTCAGCATAATCTTAGCCTCAATAGCCAGAGATGTGTCGGTCTGCATTGACATAAAAAACCATTCAAAAATAATGTCCTTTATAGCTACAGAGCAAAAAAAAAAAAAAAGTGCAGTTGAAAACATTAAAAACCATTCAAAAAAATAATTGTCCTTTATAGCTACAGAGCAAAAAAAAAAAAAAAAAAAAGTGCAGTTTGAAAGAAAAAAAAAAAAAAAGTGCAGTTGAAAGAGGTGATACCTGAAGCTCATCCAAGTAGTTAATACCTCGAACATTGGTCCATGAAACTTCAAACACAATAAAACCATACAGGGTCCTGTGCAACTCACTACTTAGTAACAAAGAATTCCGTAAGTTCTTCACAGGTAGAAAACCTCTTTTCCGCGATAAAGTTGCCGCATCAACCAATGAGATCCATTTCTCAAAATTCTTTGATTTACCAAGATTTGACTGCTCCTTTGCTTCTTTTCTACCCTTTTGGGCCTTTGTATTTGCAAAAGGAGATAACCTAGACTGCAGATGAATAATAAGAACAATATTGCTCAGTGAAGATCATCAAGGAATTTGAAAAGCAGCAGTTTGTTTTTCACCCCAAGCACATAAAGTTTTCCCTTAACAACCTTGGTAACCATTAACTGCCACAAGTGTGCTGGCCGTGGACCAAGGCTCCTCAACCATGGTCGATTGTCCACCAATATGTAAAATTTATTACTTTCAATGGCCAAGAAGAGGCAAAGATCTGAGAGGTAAGACTGCAAGTCTCTGCAATCACAAAGGTACAGAAACAGAAAAATTAGAACAAATACTAAAAACAAAAAAGTAACAAGTAGTCCATCATTTAACACCACAAGATTCAAAACCATCTGATATAAAAAACAACTTAATGAAATTGAATGTTCTTTTCTTCTTTTAAATCACTAGTATTTGCATATCACTAGTATTCGTTACTCAAGTTTCCAATGAATACCAAGCAAGTTTTCATTGATTCATTCTGAGCTTCAATGTCACCAGAAAATTTACACGTTTTATATGTAAGAGTTATCCCAGTAACGTTAAAAAGTTTGAACATGTTTACGTAATTAAGCAATAAGTGACATTAACAGAATTTCTCATGTCTGTTACACATCATTTGGGCAACCCAAAGAAACGTATATGGTCTAGAAAAATGGATGAGAAATGGATAAGCTAGAATCTCATCCGCAATCCATCAGCTCTTAACCATTGTTTCCGTATTATTCAGTCTTTGGTCAAAAGCCAAACTACCATGTTAAAGTTTCCGTATCAAGTTCTCTTGAATGATTTTCCAAACATTAAATGCAGGAATGTTAGTGAAATAAGATCACGTACAGCACAAAAAAGGTAATAATCCAATTTATACCTCGCAAACTTATTAAAAAAAAGAGAAGGCGATTTCCATAGGGACTCATTCATCTGCTGTAATCCAGATACGATCAATGTCATTAATACTTGTGAACCATAATATGACAAACAAAAGGGAATCTATTCTCCAGAAATTTGTGAGTTTGTGCTCCATCACGCATCCAACAGGAAAAGAAGCCACAAAGCTTAAACATTATTTATAAAAAATTGGAAAAAAACGAACATATTTGCATTCATTCTGATCTTCTTTGGCAAAATAATACCATTCTAACAAAAACAACTACCAAGTCAATCTCTTTCCCACCTGCCAATCCAATTCAGCAAAAGCTCAATAGCCTTTAATTTTCCACTTACTTTGGCGATTGTCTTTCGATTCAAATTAAAAAATTAAAGCATCTGACAGCCACTCACTCAATTTTGCATAAACAATCAGACAAACAATTAAATGCAAACTCAAATTTCTTTTTAAAAATTAATAAATAAGAAAATTAACAACAAATATAAAGAAACACAAAAAGGCAAAATTAATGCGCACCCAATTTGGAGACTCTTTAAAGGAAAAGCAAATTTGGCATTATCTCTTTTCCCCATGAAAATTACTCTTTAATCCACAAATAAACCTGAAATCACCTCCAAAATCACCGCAATTCACTGCTCAAAATCGAAGGAACAAATAAAAAGAAAGCTCATTAGCCTGCACAAAAATCTGACAAGAAAAAAAGGCAAATTTACAGTACGTAATAAGAACCTTGGGAAGGCGAAATACATGACAATGGAGAAGAAGGAAGAAGAAGAAGAAAAAGAAGAAGAAACAACGAAGAGAAACGATCACCACCGAACTTCATATCATAACAGCAAACGGAGTCGTTTCTAGCTGAAAAAATAAACAATTAACGGACCAGAAAAAGAGGACACGCACATCGAAACAAAACGAAGGCCGGTAAAGCAGGCACAGCAAACAACAACAGGTGTATCTTAAATTGATAAATGCAGAGAAAGAGAGAGTGGCAATAATAAAGGCAAAAACAGAGAAACTTCTTGATTGTGATTGGAGAATAAAGGAGGCTTTGGCTATGGCTATGGCTTTTGCTTGGCTTGAAAGGCGTGTCGAAAGAAAGCTTAGACACGTTTCAAAGCTCTACAAAAACAACAACGCAGAGGAACTTATGAGGGTATAATGGTAAATTTAATAGACATCGGATCTGATTCTTTCCTGCGTCAGGATCGTCTTCCTTTTGTTCTCGTCGTCGTCTAAGCCGTTACAACTGCACCGTAGAGAAGATATGGAACACAGAGAGGACCTTTTTCTCTCGAAGAAGAAAGAAGTGCAAGGCAAAGCCGCGAAGGAAGTTGAGAAATATAACAGATATAGGCGCGTGAGGAAATTTTATGGTATGGAGCATGCGTATGTTTATTTTGGGTATTTATGTTTTTAAGAGCCTGTCTACTCGTCGCTAATTGCAGCAGGTGACGTACTTCTTTACGCATCATATTAATTGTTGAGATTTTTTTTTTTTTTTTTTTTTTTTTTGGGAGCGGAAAAAGATGTTATTCTATATGACAGATTATTACGGTCGCAAAGGTCACATGTTTTACGTAATTTCATCGATTTTTCATTCGTAAAATTTTGAAATTTGGCTCAAAATGGTTTAACATCAATATTCCTCAATTCGCTGTTGACAGGTTGAATCGGGAAATAGTTTTAACTGGTACTCGGAGATGAGGTTATGCGTTATGTGATTTAAGAGTTCGGGTATATTTAATGATTAATATTTTAACGTAGGTCCTTACTATGATCCTTACTCCCGTCTGGCTTAATATCTGGGCTATGCGATATCTAGAGAAGTCATCTCAGAACTTTCGTTTAACAGCATCATAGATTTAATATGTTATGATTTTTTTATCTTATATATTCTTTTGTTATTGATTATTTGGATAAATTTGGAAAACATTGTGGAATTTCTGCACTACTGAGATAGTCACTTGTTACCTTGGCTTCAATTCTAGTTCTCTGCTATAAAGTTTGGGCTTGTTGATGTTTTGGATGTGTGGTGGTTTTCATGCTCAGTGTTATGTCTATCTGTACATACCTCTTCTTCAAGTATGGAGGAAATGGAGGACTAAAACGCAGCTTTTTCTCGATTTTTGTCTGACATCTCAATTCGGTGTGTTTAATTCAAAAATATCTTTGTACAACGATCATGGCTTACATTAACTTTTTAAAAAATTTTTTAGATGATTTTGACAGCTTCGCCTTTTTTTATCAGGCTTTCATTAGACATAACACTGCCACATCTAAATGTGAAGAGAGAGCCCACTAAATCTTTTAAGAGACAAAAATTACTTAACATATCCCCTAGTCTCGCTAATTTAGCGTGATATAGAGACAGAGTAATCTCTTAATACTCGCAGAGGACCGTTTAAAATTATTCTGTTAACTGTTATTCTAAAACATAACTTTTGAGATGCTATAAGTCCACAGACTGTGTGTGTCAAATAAAGCTGTTAAGCACGATTGTATGAACACTTATAACAGAAGATGGCGACTTGTATCTCCTATAAAAATAAGGACATTGTATATTGTGGTTTCTTAGAACTCATCTATATTTAGACAGACAACAAATACCGGTAGTACTTCGTTTAAATTAAATTACGCACTAAAGAAATTTGGCCATATCAATTTGTAAAGTATTAAAAACTCAAAACAGCAATACACGTGAACAATTGGAGTTTTAAATTGATAATTTTTATTGAGCGAGCCAACCTCTGGCTGCTCATAGCTTTAGCTCATCTCGTGACGGAAGACAAGTCAGAAAACTTCCGGATCATTTACCCATATTTAAGCGGTGTAAACCTAGGTTTTCGGAAGTATAAATAGAGGTTATAATAACCCGAAAAAGCAATAAAAATACATTTATATCTTTGAGAAAAAACACTAAGAAGAAATATGATCATTTATTACAAATAGATCCTAAAAAACTACAAAGTGTCTCATTACTCTCTACTATACCCACTATACTCTTTTTTTTTTTTTTTTTTTTTTTGAAAAGGAATTGTTGAGATTATTCATTTACTGGCTTCAATTCAAATTTATAATTTGTCAAATTATATTAATCCATCTTTGAATGCAAAACCACTTTTTTTATTTTCAATTCAATTATTGTGTTTAATTCAAAAATATTTTTTCAAATGTACATTTAAACTTTTTAAAAAATTTATGATGACAGCTCCTTTTTCATGGGCACAAATCTTTAGAAAATAATTACTTCCCTTCTATTTATATAGAGAGTATTTATATAGAGAGAGTTAAAATTTCTCTAATTTATCTAAAAAAATGTTATAGTCCCACTTTTCAATAAAATGTAATAAATTATAAGAGATGGGGTTGATTGCTTAAATAAGACATTTTATTTGTTTAGACTTCTAATAGAAAAAAACGTAGATTGTTTAATTATAATTACGCACTAAAATTTCCATATCAAATTTGTAAAGTATTAAAAACATCAAAACAGCAAATACACGTGAACAATTGGAGTTTTAAATGATAATTTTATTGAAGCAACTCTTGGCTATATATAGCTTTACATCTAATAGGAAAGAAAAAATTCAGACAACATATTACGTTAAGTGGTTTTGGATAATAAGAATAAAACAAGATAGCTAAAATCTTTAACAAACCTAGAAGAATATGTCTTTATTCAATAGTCCTAAACTCAAGCAATTTCTTCCAACAATCCCCTCCCTTGAACTTATTCCTCTTGTCAAAGAATTAGTTCAAATCTGAAACAATGCACATGCCTAGTTCTTGATGCAATTTCTGAAATGCTTCCAACTTGAGAGGCTTTGTCATAAGATCTGCAAGCTGATCTCGAGTGCCGTAAAACAGTCAATTAATAGCTCTTTTAGTAACATCCCTAAGAAAATGAAATCTTACCCTTATGTGCTTGGATCGACAATGTAAAACTAGATTTTTGGACAGCTTTATAGTCGAAGTATTATCACACATTAACATAGTGCCTTCTCTCTTTATATGACCGATTTCTTTTAGTATCCTCTTCATCCAAATAGCTTGACAAGCACATGTAGTAGCTGCGATAAACTCAGCCTCCGTGGTTGACAAAGTGATTATGGGTTGCTTTTGAGATGACCAACCTACTGCTCCACTATAAATCATGAACACATAACCTAAAGTACTCTTGCTATCCTCCATATCTCCAGCATAATCACTATCAATAAATCGAACCAAATCACTAGCTACTCCCCTTTTGTAAAACACACCATAGTTCACAGTCCCTTTTAAGTACCTTAAGACCCTTTTAGCTGTTGTAAAATGTAGTTGTGTTGGACATGCCATGAAATGACTAATAAGACTTACAACGAACGTGAGATTAAGGGGAGTGGCTGTGAGATACATCAGGTTTCCCACTATCTGCACGTATTGAGTTGCATCCACCTTTATGCCATCTTCATCTTTACCAATTTTTTGTCCTAGAATAATAGGATTACAAACGGAATTGTAATTCTCTATTCCAAATCAACTCAAAACCTCAGTTGCATACTTCCTTTGGCATATAAATACACCATTAGACCTTTGTATCACCTCAATTCTAAGAAAAAATCTCATCTTTCCTAAGTGTGTCATATCAAACTCCTTTTTCATAGAATATTTAAATTCATCCAACATTTGTTCATCCTCACCACTGAATAAAAGATCATCAACATAAATGCTCACAATGAGAATTTTACCTCCCTTTCTCTTGACAAGGAGTGTCTGCTCATTGGAATTGATTTTAAAACCCTCCTTGATAAAGTAGGACTCTATTCGACTAAACCAAGCCCTAGGTGCCTGTTTTAGTCCGTAAAGGGCTTTTTGTAGCTTGTATACCATCTGTTCACTTCCTTTCTTCTCATAACCTTTCGGTTGTTCTATAAAAACATATTCCTTCAAATCCCCATATAGAAAAGTCGATATGACATCTAATTGATAAAGTTTCCAGCCTATTTGAGGCGCAAAAGCTATAATCATTCTCACTGTATCTATCCTGGCCACGTGTGCATAAACTTTTGTATAATCAATTCCATATTACTGAGTGTAGCCTTTCACCACCAATCTTGCTTTGTATTTGTCAACTTCTGCAAGCTCATTTAGCTTGGTTTTATAAATCCATTTTATTCCTATTTTCTTTGCATCATCAGGTAGTTCCACCAAGAGCCAGGTTTGATTTTTTTTTCGATGGATTTGATTTCTTCATCCATAGCCAGTCTCCATTTCTGGCTTTTGACGGCTTCCTCAAAGTTTGCAGGATCTGATGTCATCAAAAGTGCTATGTTTGCTTCATCTTCTTCTAATAAACCTTCACCGAAAGTGTAATCTGTCGACCATATAGGTGGGCGTCAATTTCTGCCCTTCCTTGCTGTCAAATCTGTTGCAGCAGCTGGTGAATTAATTTCGGCTTCATCTGTGACTTCTACTTCTTCAGTTGTGTTCTCCATTGATTCTTCTTCATTTGTGTTCCTTTTAATGTTGTCCCCCTATTCGAATTCCATTAATTGTTCACCTTCAAAATTTGAATTTCCCACACACAATCTTCTTCGAAAACTACATCACGGCTTACTAAAATTCTTTTGGCAACTGGATCAAACATTATGCACCCTTTGGATTCATCACTAACCCCAAATAGGACACAGCTCACACTTTTATCTTTAAGCTTGCTTCTCCTAGCATGTGGAATATAAACGACTGATGGCTTCTCTCCGCTCTACGCCTCTTCTGGGGTCATATCCTTTACAGCTAGGGTAAGCAATCAATTCAAGACATGAATCATCCACCTAACTACCTTTGGCCAGAAAATCTTAGGCACTTTCTTCTCTGTCAACACAGCTCTCACCAGGTTCATCACAGTACGATTCTTGTGTTTGGCCACTCCATTTTGTTGTGAAGTATAAGCTGTGGTCAATTGTCTCTTTACCCCATGATGTTTGCAGAAATCATTGAATTCTGCAGAGTTAAATTCTCCACCTCTATCTGTTCTTAAGCATTTAATGGGAATTTTTTCCACAAGTATTTTGAAACATTTAAAGTGATAAAATGTTTTTATTTTTTCTAAAAGAAAATAAGTCCATGCTTTCCTAGAAAAATCATCTATGAAACACAATAAATACCTCTTCTGGCTTTTTTCTAAAAGAAAATAAGTCCATGCTTTCCTAGAAAAATCATCTATGAAACACAATAAATACCTCTTCTGGCTGCCTGAAGTTGATGTGATAGGACCATAAAGATCCGCATGAACTAGACCCAATTTTTTAGTTGCTCTCCACTGACACTTTTTAGGAGTTGGAGTCCAATGTTGCTTGCCTTTCATGCATGCCTTGCAAGTGACACTTGGACCTGC